TTTGTTTGTAGGTATGATATAAAATCATATTTTAATTGGACAAGTCATTAGGGGGTATCAAATATAATAAATTTGAAAAATTAAAACTCCATTTACTCTTGAACTAAAAAGTTTTCTTGCAAGGTGTGCTGTGATGAATTTGGAAGGCAAATATGTGCTTCTTTCCAAAATACATCCATCAAAAAAGGTGGTTTGGTTTGACAGATAATGAGGTTTTAAGATTTCAAATTTTCCATATTTGATACCCCCTATTAGCAGGGTTCACAATAGTTTTTTTTTGCTTCTCAAACCTGTCAATTTATTTTCTTGCTTGCGCACTGCTGACATTAAATTTTTCAGCAATGTGGTAAATAATACTGTGTTTCTACACAGAAAATATAAAAATTTATTATGATCTCTTTATATATATTATATATGGTAAAAATAAAATCAGAAATGGATTTCTTAGGTAAAATAACCCCTAGTCACCCACTACAACTGACCCCATATCTATCATAGTTTAGAAGTTACGCAGATTTCAACCTATCACGGGATAACTCTTGGATTATTTACTCTTAGTATAGCTCATTTTGAATACTGGATGCATATTGAATATTGAATTCCTTTGTATTGTATTGAATTATTTTATTAGCTCATAGTGCATATTGAATTCCTTTGTAGGTGCACATGCATTCCTTTGTAGAAGGACCTTGTAGGCTGGCCAAAACCCCTCAAGACAGTGCTCTCACTAGCCAAATTTCCTCACCTGCATTTATTAGACCAGCTACATTCCCTCATTGGATCTTCAGGCCAGCTAAATTGCCTCAAAAGCCTGTACCCTGGGGCTAAAATCCCTCAAATTTGTCTATATAAGGAGGCCTCTGCCTGCCAGTTGTTCCCTCCATCATCCCACCAGAGGACCAGATCATCTCAGCCCACATTACAGAGTATATAAAAGTGGCAGCCATAAAAATACATTATATTGAAATACAATCATTACACTTTCATCATCATAACAATTGCCAAGTACCAATAACCTGCCTCACATACCATTACTGGTTGAAGCATAGCGCTCCCAGAGCTCTGCACCTTGGTTTTAAAGCTTTGAAAACTTTGAACAACAGCTTCATCCCCTTATACATATCACTTGGTGTGGAACTCCTCAGCAAGTGAGTAAAGAGCTTGGAGGGGATAAAATAGCTAATAAGACTATGGAATAGTAGAATTAGTATATGTGTGTGGGTAAGACTGCCCTCCTGTCTAGCTTGCGGGAAAGTTACACTAATAAAAAAATAAGAGTGTGGCTTATTTCTAAATTTATCTTAGTGTTGATACTACTAGTATTGTTGCTTAAGAATACCTGTTTAGAGGTAAGGAGATGCTGGTGGGTTTTCTGAGGAGTAAAGGTCTCTGAAGGGTTTCTCTGTTAAATCTGTTATAAATTCTCTCTGGTTCTCTAATCTAATAAGACTCTCTGGTTTCTCTGGGCTCTGATAAATGGTACACTTATTTCTCTAATATCTTTCAAAGAGGTGAGAATGGCTAAATAATATTTCTGAATTACTTTTCTATGGCCAAAACATGAGATAAGGGATGTTCAAAGGGCTCTAATATTCTCTAGATTTCTTAATCAAGGGGTGATGAAAGCTAAGTAATATCTCTGATTACTATTCTGAAGCTAGCATGAGGTTTTGATGAGTGCTAAGTAATATCTCTAATTACTTCTCTGGTGCAAACATGAGGAGGGAAGAGGAAAACATGGGCAGAAGAGCCTCTATTTATAGACAAATGGTTCTATAGTACATGATATTTTGGCCTGAACACAAGTGCGTCTGAGAAAAGTTCTAGAGTGAATTTTACTACTCTGAGATAGCGTAATCTGATATGAACTCAACTCTAAGTGCCCTTCTAATACGAGAGGTTGTATTTCTACTATATGAGGCCTATTCTTAGATTAATTGCTATGAGATTGGTATTTTTAGACTAATTAGTATAAGACTTATTTTCTGGTTTTAGTCTGTGAGGTACTCTCTAATTAATAATTTGATTATACCAGTCTAAGTTAGATATAGTATCTTTTATGCTCCTCTCTAGGCTATTTATATAATTTTAATTCATGAGGAATTGAGTATCTTTAAGCCTGGTTCGTTATTTGTTTTAGCAAAGATTTAACCCAGTAAGAATTTTACACTTTATTCTGTAATTTACTCCTTCTCCTCTAATGTTTTAATTTACTATTTATGTGTATTAAGGTGATTTTAATTATGGCTATGTGTTTGATCAATCTCACCAAATCGGGAGCTTCATCTTGAACCATCCTCTATCACCATAAATATAACTGCCAAGCTAAGCTTGCTGGTCTTGTTGTTCTGATAGCATAGAAGGGCAGAGCTTGCAACTCCACCATCCCCTTCTCCATTCATCAAAAGGGTTTCACAACTGCTTTTGAGTCTTACAGAAAAAATTCAAAATCCCACGCTAAATTTGATGCCTGCAGCAGTGCTGCAGCTTCTTGCAAGAACCCAGAGAGCTTCACGCCAGAAGCTATTGTGAACCCTGCTATTATTAGGCCCTGTTTTGACAAAACCATTATATGTTATAAATTTTAGTTTAGCACAAGATTGTGTTGTATCAATATATATCGACAAACATACATTTTGCAATTTAGCGCTGAACCTTAAAACTTATATCATATTACAATGCATCCAAACAGGGCCTTAGAAATCTCATCTGTTTTCCCATCACTTAGTTACTGTGTTAATTGTGTCCTGTTTGTAGGATAGTCAATTTCTATATCTTATATGCTAGCTTTGATCAATACAAAGCAATTAATGCTAAATTTAAAATCAGATATAAATGTAGTTTCAGAATCAGGCTAGTCTGACACAATATCAGCTTGGTCATCTTGATAGGGTCCTGTTAAGTCACTTGCAAGGATACTGATGTAACATGAATGGTTTTATAGGGGAAAATATATTTCTTCAAGGTCAGTTGAGTCTCCTTTGGTAGGAGAACTTTCAAATGGTTCATAAACCTCAGGGACCCAATTCAAAGGCTAATAAAATGGGAGAGAGGTGCATAGAAACTCCAACTGGCAAAGGCACAACTTGTGTGTTGAATATTTCTACCACAAATCTGGTTTTGAAAATATATCTTGTTCATTGATGAGTATGTTTGACCAAATTTGAGTCAAAAATCAAATCAAATACAACTTTTGGTGAGTACCCCTATGGGCTTGAATGGTGTGAAATGCAGAGGCACTCTGATTCTGATCTGTAAGCCATGAATTCTCGAGGGAACATCAGTAAGAATGTGTCAATTACACAGTTCGAACTTGGATACGAGTCGAACTTAACACAAGTCCCCTCCTCCGAGGAGGCGCCTTAACACAAGTCCCCTCCTCCGAGGAGGCGCGAAGCGCCTCCGAAGGAGGGACTTGCATATAATCTGTCAAATCTGGGCTGAGCACTCCCAGCCAAATGGCTGAGAGCACCTTTCAGGGCCTACTATCCCCCATAACCACTTTGATTCACACTACGCCTCCTGCACCACTGAAATCCTGAGGGTTTTTTACGCCTGGTCCCGCTGCCCATGTACCGGGTTTCTTTCACATCTGGCAAATATTGCCAAGCTAAGAGGGAGATTCTGTAAACAATCCGTCCCTGTTGGTGCCGGATCCCTCCTTGTAAATATCCGGCACCTGTGGCCATAAACACATAGATGCTGATGTACATATATATGTGTATCTCAATCCAGTTGTGCTCTCTCGAATGAAATAATAGCTTGAAATTTATGTTGTGTCTTCCATCTTATAGTCCCACAGGAAGAAGGACTGTCAAAGAAGAAAGTATTTATAAGATGATACTAAAAAAACCGTGAGACTTTCAATGATCCGACACCTGCATAATCCGAGAGGTCCAAAAAATTGCAGGTGCAACACGTTAGAGTCCCCAAGCAAAACTGGGGACTGAGCCGCGAATCATTGGTGTAATTTTTCCAAAAAAAATACAGGAGATACCTGAGATGCAAGGCTATCATCAGGCGGAAGGGCGAGTGAGAAGGAGTTGTGTTGAATTTTTAATTAAATTTTGAACACAACATTATCAATTTCCAGGGTAAAATTTCCATGTACTCAGGCTGCCAGTCTGACTTGCCAGGTAAGCCTCTCCTTCGGAGAGCGTCCCTTCGGGACGCGGGGTCCCTTCGGGACCCTCCGATCGAGAGGCTTATGTTAAGCTCGGATACGAGTCAACCCCAATATAACATGTTTAATTACAATTTGCTCTTGTTGAGGGCGTCTAAATCTCATGGAAGCATGTGCAAAAGTCACAGACATACAACATGGCGTATGCTGAGATGGAATTGGGGTTGGGCAAAATTTACTTTCTTTGCCTGCATATTTTGGCCACCGAAGAAGCAACCATCCAGTCAAGGGAATTATAGAATGTATAAGTGTTTTTTCAATCGCTACTTCCTCTATAAGGATGTTGCTTCTTTGTGACTGCTCAGGTGCGGGATTGATATTGCTTCTACCTCAAGGGCGTGTGAGTGGATGTACGTGAAGGGGGGAGGTTGTGGGGCGGTGTTTTTTCTTGATCTAACTCCTCCGACTCGAGCTCCGACTGAGTCTCAGCGTCACCAAAACTCCAGCGGACCTCAGTGGACCTAAGAAAAATCTGTACAGTAGTATACATTTACATAATTCACTCAGCATCAACTTCAAGTCAGGCAGTCGCTAGGGTTTATGTCTTCAGCTTGTTTTTGGTAATCAAGCCGGTTACTCAGCTGATAGGCACTTCCCTCTTGTCCACTGCCGGGTTCAATTCATATGACGCCCGACGCGGGTCCAGTGGCACTTGGATTCTGTCTTCCAGTATCATGTGGTGTTACACCGACGCGTATTGCCAAAACAACGCAAAGTGAGTCACTTCAATCGGCGAAACGAACGGACATCAAGATATATGGACCGTGAGACAGGCCATTCCGAGTATCCATATGATCCATAACGTCTACGCGACAATGAACTTCTAAAAAGCCTCCAGAATCCGCTGCCCAGTTTATTTTCACATCGCTGGTTGATACAATGGGTCTAGTCTAAGTGTAACTTTTACTGCAATTGCTGGTCCATCTGGACTCGTCGTTCTTCAAAAGGTCTGTCAAAGCCAGCCTTCTTTTAGCTCGAGGAGTGATCAAGCGTATTATGTATCTGTTGAGTCCAGCCATCTAACCTAAAAATTTACCTCAGTCGAGCTTTTTATCAGTTCGACCCTTGCTCAGCTTGATCCCCTGACTGTCAGTGCGGAAAGCCTATAAATAGATCCCTTCGGTTACCTCCATTCGCCAAACTCAGCACACAAACAATCCACAATCTGTCTCCTTCTCTACACCATACACCACCCACCATGCATTTAGAACTTGGTTCCCTATCTGTTTCAGCGCGAAGAGTGTTCCTTTTGACTTTGTCAAGCGGCGTACTAATCTCTTCTTCCAACACTTCACCCAACCTTTTATCGTACGAAGGGATTGAAAATACTGTGGAATCATCTCATCACAACAGAACCCGTATCTCATTGTCCCTTCAGCAACGGGACTTTTCAGCTGAAAGCGCCGGCTTCGACTATGCCAATCAGAAAATCAAAGGCGTCAATGTCGGCGGATGGCTGGTACGTCTCTTTGTTTTCCACTATCTCATTCACTTGACGGCGGGCGTGAAATGTTGAAATTTGTTTTTCACTCCAGGTCACAGAGCCATGGATCACTCCTAGCTTATATGAAGTTGATAATCCTGCCGTGATTGATGAATTTACTCTCTGTCAGACTTTAGGGTAAGTTCTGGTTGATTTTTTTCTCTGCAACGCGCCAAAACTTGACTCCTCCTTTCCCCTCAGACGAGATGAAGCAGGTCGGCGTTTGCGCGCACATTGGGACGCTTTCTTTACGGAGGAAGATTTTCATACAATTAAATCTTATGGACTGAATCATGTCCGTATACCTATTGGTACGTTGGTGTCTTGTCAATATAGATATTGCGATGGAAAACACTATCAAGGCTTAACGGCATGTTTTTGTTTTAGGTTACTGGGCTTTCGATATCTCCGGAGGCGAGCCTTATGTACAAGGGCAGTTTGAAGTTGGTGCTATTTGAGATCATTTTACAAACTCTTAGGATATCCAATTAACCAGTCATTTTATTTTCGATTAGTATCTACTGCGAGCCGTCGGTTGGTGTAAAGATGTTGGGTTAAAAGTATTGATTGATCTGGTAAGCACTCAACTTACCGTATCCCAATCACTGCAGGTCTGCTGACAAACGTTATCAAACTATTAGCATGGAGCACCAGGATCACAGAACGGATTCGGTAAGTTCATCTTCCTGAAACTTGATGTGACTCGAGATCTTACCTGTAACCTACCACGTAATCTGCAGACAACTCCGGAAAGAGGGGTGACATCAATTGGGATGAAGACCAAGGCAACGTGGACAGGACGAAAGCCGCACTTGCTAAGCTGACAAAGGAATTCTCCAAACCGCACTATGGTAATCTCACCTTGTTTGAATTCCAAATCATGTATTTAAACCTGGCTGACATGGCTTTTTCTACCCGTAGCTCACGTTGTTGTTGGTATTCAAGCTTTGAATGAACCCGCTGGGTTTAAGAATCAACACATGGTTGACACTATCAATGAATTTTACAAAGGTAATACATACTAAAACTTGTCGTTTGATTTACTTCTTCACAAGCTGACTCTTTCTTTTGACCATAGATGGATACGACATTGTTCGCCATTCCGGAAGCCACTCTGGCGACGGCAAGCAAACCCATCTATTGTACAACATTCACGATGCTTTTTTGCCGCTGAGCACCTGGGCGCACACGTTTCCACCTCCGCAATACCATGGCGTTTCTCTTGACACGCATATCTATACCGTCTTCACAGTTGAAGGAAACAAATTCAATGAACAGGAACGAATTCAAGAGTACTGTCGGAAGATCCCTGATTTGCAAGCGAGTCAATCGAAGATTTGGACTTGGGTCGGTGAATTCACGCCAGCACCGACAGATTGCGCTCCACTTTTGAATGGAATCGGCCGCGGTGCCCGCTACGATGGAACTTTCGAGGGTAGCACCAGGGTTGGAGACTGTCATCCCAAAACTGGCCTGGCTTCTCATTTCTCGGAAGAGTACAAGGAATCACTAGGCAAATTCTTTGAAATCCAGACCCAAGTTTACGAGCATGGATCTGGTTGGTTCATGTGGACCTTCAAAGCCGAGAAAGCCGACGATTGGAGCTATGATGCTGGAGTCAAGGTTTGTCGACTAACTTGATGATTTTGCTCTTACAGCGCTTGTCTAATCTTCCTTTGTGTTTGATCACAAAACCTTCCTCACATTAGGGCGGCTGGATTCCTAAGAACCTTGATCACAAAATATACGGGGTTCATTGCTAGGTTACTTTTCCATTTCATCTCTTTATATTTGGGTTGGAACAGCCTAGTGCGATTTAAGCAGATTCCTAACGGGCGTTGAAAAAGTTGTACTTTTACCTCAGGGGAATTTAGTTGATCTAATAATTTCAATATGGCAATGTTGTTCAGTTCAACATATCCAGCATACACCTCTTGTTCTAAATCCTGTTTTCTGACACACATTCACATCGATTTTGTAATTATATGTATCAACTTTTCTCCTAATTTCATAAAATTTGTTATCAAAAGGCCGCTCTTTCCTTGGCTGGTCGCAAAACAACAAGATCGGCAGGAACACCGGTTTGCCGCCCCATTCACTCTTCATAGATCGCTTTGGACTATTCAAAGGGGCCAATTTAATAGTTACTATCTGATTCTATCGATGTGGAACCACAAATGCAAGATTAGACTCAGTCTGAAGTACATGCCGCAAGGATCTTTCCTCGTAAAAAACGTCTTAATCACGATGATCGATAACAGACCACCCCAATATGAAGCAGGCGGTGACACCTGATGTGTGTTGATAATAACGGGTTACTTACTTCGGTTCCGGTCAACTCGAATGAGAAGAAGAGGAAACCTTAGCCTCGCGCTAGGCCGATTTAGGCTCGCAGGTGCACTCCCCTGCCACTGGTAGTGAATCGCAAGGAATTTCATAGCTTGTTCCATTGCGTATCCTCTTCAGTGTAACCCGGACTGCTTTGATAAGTGAAGCCACGGCGTCACAGGTGTGCCCACCTGGCAATAATCAAAATGATCATAGCTTCCAATTTCACTCCAATGCTCGCGTACTCTCAAGTGTATGTAGCTTAGTATACCCGCCGGGAAATGATGATGGCTTGTTCCATTTGCCACTAATCACTCTTCAGCGCTCGGTACTCGCTTTTTACTTCGAAATCTTGTGAAGATTACCGGACATTGGAAAAGACTCCCACATGTGGAAATGAAAGATGATCAGCTCGGGGTATAAAATAAGTCTTCGTCGGCCCCCGCTGGGTCAATTTCACCAGCCAATAGTAATACACTACAACCAAACCCTTGCATACTTCCTCCTACCACGCGGAGTCCACCTCACAAAGATGCAGTTCATCACCCTTGCCGTTGCATTTGCTTTCTACACTGGTATGCCTTCAGCTGCTGTCTGCTGATAGAGCTTAGGAATGCGAGCTGACTTCTTCCAAAAACAGGTGTCATTTGGACGGCGTCAGCCACGGCTCCTGACAAGGAGTGAGGACTCATAGTCATAATTTTCTCTCATGAGCCCGAGCTAACGTTTTCTCCTCCCGGTTAGTGACCCCTCGGGAAGCAGTCAAGCTTCGATGGGTCGTGGCAATGTCCAATCGACGGGTCAGGGACTACCCCCTCCTATGGCCGGTGCCAACCCGGCGTCCCTAGCCCAGCCCCAGGCCACGTCCAATGGCCATATGGGGGTACCCGAAGGATTAAATTCCGGTATGTCAACTTGAGCTTTATTCCGCTGCCTTGCAATCCCCGCGATCTAACATCTATCTGTTGCTTTATCTGTTTTTGGCTTTTCAGCCACCTTGAATGGTTCTTCATCAAACCATGGTGGTTTACCTGGCGCTGGTCAAATGCCGACTGGTTCAATGAGCCCTGGGGCCCCCATGTTTGGTGTGCCCAACGGTTCTGGAGCCAGCGTTCCAAACAAAGGTGGCCTCCCAGGCGGTTCAACCCCCTTCCCAGCCGGTACTTCTGCTAACCACATGCCTACTGTACCAGGCAGCCTTTATGGCCCCCATGAGGGCGGACCCGGTTATCCCCCTTCTGGCAACCCACTTCTCAACAATCCATACTCCAGCACTAGCTACGGTGCGGGCTCTCCATACCCCTCATCATTTGGGGGTCAAAGTGGGGATTTCTACTCGCCTCAGTCTGGCTACAGCAGCCCATGGACTATGCCCCAAAGTTCCTATGGCACCTCGCTCGGTATGAGTGGCTCTCCTTGGCGTGGCTCGTCTTCATTTCCCAACTCGAACCCTCAAAGCGACTCGTTTAACTGGAACGGATTTCTGCCTGACGGATCCCACACCTCGGAATCTTTGGCTCCCGGGGCCTCGGCCTTTGCGCAAGCTAAACCATCGGCCCATGGACAATCTCAGACCCTAAACTACGCTCAGAATTATCCAAGGCCAGCTCCTGGGTACACTTCTCAGTTCAGTCCATGGAACCGTCAGAACGGTGGATCTACTCAGTCATTAGGCACCCAGGGTGGTTACTACGGTCAAGATGGTAACGGCATGCCGGCTTTCAGCCAACTCAGTCAAGGAGGTTACAACGGCGGGTCGAACCAGCCCTTTACCAACCAAGGTGGCTATTACGGCCGAGGTGGTAACGGCATGTTTGGACCTAGTCAATTCAATCAGTTTAGTCAGACTCAAGGGAATAATCAGAACGGCGGGTCAATGTCGTCTTTCGCTTACCCGGGCGGTTCCTACGGGCAAGGTGGAAATGGCTTTTCCGCTTCGGGTCAGTACGGTCGGGATAACTACGTCTCTCAGTCTAATCCCTACGGCTATAGTGGCAGCTACGGTTATGATGGTTCAGTGTGTGATTCTGGATTCGGCGGTCAAGTCTTTCGGGGTCAAAGTGTAGGCGCATCCCGTGGCTGGTATTAATTCTGCCAATCGGGTTCCTCCCATTCATCAGGTTTGTTGATCTGGAACTTGTGCACCCTTATGACACTGCTTTGCTAAAACGTTATCATTTCCCCCCTGTAGATTAAGGCATCTGCCTCAGAGGCTTGGCCACACTTGTTTTTTTATCATTACCTCTTACCTTATTTTCTGTTAATGGTCCACCTCGTGTACGAAGCCTGGCTGTGAACATCTTGAAATTGGTTGATATAGAAATACATAAAAAACGTTTTACCTATTCTTTTTGATTTTCAAGCGATACTTATTACTCCAGTCTCCGCTCCATCTCACACCACCAACCTAAGTCCCTAAGGTCACGTTGAGCATAACTTTTGTCCATGACACCTGGTTAACCCCATGTTGGCATTCCAATTTGCCGTGAATACTTTCTACTTGTAAGTAATTTTGTTGAGATGATGCGCCCTTTGCACTTCTCGGTATCACATTTCTCACTGTAACGTACCCCATATTTCAAGGGAATCGCGGGCCGCAACAGTTTCCAGGTATTCTTTGTATAGTCTACCTTAATAAAATAATGCTGCCATATGGAGCCCGGTCTTGATTTAAATTTCCATGGACTTGACTCCCAAACGCAGTCTACATTTTGATAGATGGAAATTGAAATGGATGCCTAAATCTATATAATATTGTTTTTTTTTTCTTTGACAAAGTGAATCGATTGGTCATAACCTGTTGCATCATACTGTCTGTGTCAACAATCGCAACTTGTGGCATCGATTGACGATACAAGCAGTACATAAGACATCGACCATAATCCTTGATTTTTTTTGTGTTGACAAACCAATGCTCTAAAGACTCGAGTCGTGGCAGCGGGGCATCACTTCAAATTTGGAGCATCAGAGTGGTGGTCCCAGTCGCTGTCCAACTGCTGTGGAGCCTGACCATCTCCTGAGTCCTCACTAACCACAACACAAGTTCATCAAACAAGGAAACGGCCAAGACAGCTCAAGACCGAGGAAGACTTCAGCAGGAATTTCTAGGATATTGCAGCGTTTCAGGACCATTCCGATGCATTCTTCGCTTTTCTCTTCCGAAAGAACCATCAGACCCAGTAGTGGTGGTCGATCGAGAGATGCGAGCCCGGCCCCCTCAAGCTTCCACGCAGACTTACGCCAGTTCTCCTATGTTTCTTTCCCTGAGACCACTGGATTCCTACCCTCTCGGTCTCAGAAAGCTCAACCGACACTAGGAACCGATCATAGTCTTGGGTTTCTTCCTGACCCTCAGCCGGGAAAGTCGCTTTTGGGTAGGTTCAAGTCAGCCATCGGCGCCAGCGCTTGGATTTCACCAGCAACGACCAGCGAACACAAAACATCCACTATCGCTTTGCCTACTCACCCATCTTTACCACCCATGACGATGAGCTACTCCCAAGCAGACTTGGACTCAAGCAATTCATTCGATTCGCGAAAGTCACGCGCCAAAAAAATCAGTCTCAATCAAAGTAGCAGTAGATCCTTTGGAGGCAGTCTATTCGAGCCATCAGATTCATCCCGCGTGCGTAAATCATCCTCTATCTGTGTTCGTGCTTTTGGTATCATTCTCTGAGGCCCCGCTCATCTCTCATCCAATTCAGGCTCAGAATATGGAAAGTTATCAGTACTCACACCCGCAGGGATTAGTTGGGAGCCAGCATCGCTCAAGTTTCGGCCACTCCGAATCGCCACCTAGACCCGGAAGCTCCATGTCCTTCAGAGCTCTCAATCGATCTGTGGACGGTCTTTTGGAAGCTCAACGTCCAGCCTCAACTGCTTTAGATTCATCAAGAGCACCTTTCCACTTCAACTCCCTTCCAGAACCGGAAAACGCTTTCCCCTTGGTCAGCTCGGATACCCTCTTACGCTCACTGGTGCTAGATAATTCAGGTGGCAACCATTCAGCGGATTTCTCAGCTGTGCCGCCATTTTCTCACATTCCCGGTTTCCCCTTAGCGAGAGAGACAGTCGGAGACGACAGTGCTAGTGTCTTCAGCTCCTCCGGTGGCCCCTCATCTACGCCAAAAAAAATTAGACCAAACAATCAAGATCCCTCTCACAATTTGTCAAGGGAAACGTCCAGTCGGCTTCACGCCATCGGAAACCCGCAGGGCAAGGTGAATCCCCTCACTAATCCTTACCTTCCTCCAAAGCCGATTGAATTTCATCTGCAGCATTAAGCTTTTGACACCATACCGTCTGCAGGGTCTGAGTAAGGAATACTGGCTGCCTGATAAGGATGTAAGGGAGTGTTACGACTGTGCTGTAGCATTTACTTCTTGGCGTCGAAAACATCATTGCCGAATCTGTGGAGCAATATTTTGTTCACAATGCGCATCCAACTTGGTTCCTGGAAATCGCTTTGCATCATCCGGTTACATCAGAGTATGTAATATTTGTTTGGCCAAGCTCGAACCTCAATCACAAGAACAAACCAATTTTGCTATTCGGGAGGATACGGATGATGAGACGGTGAATTAAAATCGCTCTTCCAATCTCTGCATCAATCTGAGAGATGCTCATCAGCCCAATTACTCATTTGATGTATCACAGCAATCATTCTCGGAAGCAGCCTCAGGCTTCAACCTCCTTGCTTCCCGCTCACAAGGGAACCGTGCTCATACCAGCACTCCCGGCAAAATGCGCGAGGCAGCCAGGCAAGTTGGGGATCAACTCGCTTCATCCGTCACACATCGTACTGGACGATCACTCTATCGAAATCCTCCGGATCATCATTCTGCTCGTCGCAAAAGCCTCCTACGACAGCTGGCGCCCCCTGATAAAACTAGGTCAAAGTTCCACTCTCGATCCGATTCTCCTCCTGTCTCACGTTCGTCTCCGATCACCGCCAATCTTTTCAGTCCGTTGACGATCAAGAGGTCGTCATTACAGAAGCCTGAAGCTGTATCGAGCGCTCCTTTTCGTAAAGGACTCACAGATGAGGAACAAGCTGGGCTACCTGGCATCAGTACAGCCAACCACACTCAATCCGTCTATGTTTCTTCTCCAAACACCTCGAAGTTGTCGGCGGAAATTAAGGAAGCTCCACTGGATAGACATTTTAGTTCAAGTTCACACGAAACAAATCATGATTCAAGCCAAAATGGCGAACGGCACGAACAACGACTCCCCTCAACTTCTAGAAACGCATCGGGTTCTTATGTTGAAGGTCAACCCAAACCTTGTCTCGCGTCCGAGCTTCCATTTTCTAAGGCCGCTTCGGTACGTTAGCTGGGTTTTCTGCGTCAGGAATTTATTGTTGAAGTTATGATACTTTTCATTAGGCAAGCTTTGTGTCTGAAACCGAGCAAAGTCTTAGGTTGGAGGAGTCTTTCTCGTATTTTCCAGCTTTTTCATGTGAACACGTTCGATTTATGATTCATCAGTTCCTCACCCGAGAGAATATTCCCAAAACGCCTGTCTGGGAAACGGAGCTCACAAATTTGTTGCTTCAGTTAGTCTCTGAACCTCCCAGGCCCAAATATGACGCCGAAGATGCTGGGGATATCAGAAGACTGGTTAAGATCAAAAGAATTCCCGGAGGCCAGGTAGCTGATTGCGAGTAAGCATTATTCAATTTACACTTGAAGAAAATACACATACTCAGGTGAAAAAAAAATTCAGGTACATCCACGGCGTCGTATTCACGAAGAATATTGCGCACCGAAAAATGAAGTCAGAGTGTTCTGTTCCCAAAGTCTTAACGATCGGCATGCCTATAGAGTTTCAAAGGGTTGATGGCTACTGCAAGTTGGATGTATTGGTTTCTCAAGAGCGACAATATCTTAAAGGACTTGTTCATCGACTCATATCGCTGGAACCAGACTTAGTACTAGTGGATGGTAACGTCTCGGGAGTAGCGATCGATTATTTCGTTGAAGCAGGGGTGACTGTCCTCAGGCACGTCAAATCAACGGTCTTACAGGCAGTCGCTCGTTCAACCAAGACTCCATTGATATCATCTCTCGACAAACTCTTAAATTTGCAAGTTGGTCAATGCGATCTGTTTCGCGTTCAAACTGTCCATCACCGCATGATACCCAATCATCACAAGAAGACTTTTATACGCTTGGAGGGTTGTGAACCCTCTCTTGGGGGAACTCTGATTCTGAGAGGAGGTGATTTGGCGCTGCTTACGAAGGTGAAATCTCTGATGTGCTCCATGGTGGGAATCATCTACTCACTGCGATTAGAAGACTCATTTTTAAATGACGAGGGCGCGATCTATTCAAATGATTCCACTCACGAGACATTACTACATCAAATCAGAGCTATTGATCTCCGAACCGTCCTTTCCCGCTTTCGCCATGCAAAGAAGCACATTTGTAACTTCGAGCCTTTGAAGCTGCCTGGAAAACCTGGCGGAGCCATCCCGCATTCCGATTTGATCACGTTGTCTGATCAAGTCGACGATCTAATCAAGCCATATGAATGTCTGTTACCTTCGGGTAGCCCACGAGTTAACCTTACACCGCCCTTTGCCTTGCTGAAATTGCGTCAATTGATTCAGCAACTGATTGACTTAATAGAACTCGACACGCAATCGATTCAACCTTTGTCGGCAAAATCTTGTCTCCACGACGAGAAATTTGATGAAAAATTGCACCCTGAACGTAGTCCCTCGATGTCTCTTACCTCCTCACATACAAAATCCAATGACAGCAACTCGATTCTGTCGGATGAAGCTACCACCCGAGTAAGGCAGCCTACGATAACTCCCGATGCGCGTGATGAATATATCTCCCATCTCAATCGACAGATCGAGGAAGAGCGCATGGCTGTCCACTTTTACCTATCAAATCACTCCTCAGAGACTTTCAAAGCCGCTGATCATCAACAACTAATTGTACAAGAAAGTGTCACGTGTTCCTCGTTGGGCGGATACACTTGTCAAGGGCCTCATCTGCGCGCCTTCGCTTTTTATTCAGCCGGTGATCAATCCGTTGGACAAATTATACAGATGTTGATTAATTGCCGGTCCGAAATTTGTCATGCCAAAGGTTGTAATCAACCTAAAAGTATCCATCAAACGAATTGGATTCATGGACACTACAAAGCCACAATCCAGATGCACCTCGGTCATTCCAATCGTCAAAGTGCTTCGAGTGACTCTGAACCAAGCGACCCCTCCAATTTCCCTGAAGAGCCTTTAGATCCCGATCTCATAATGATGCAGGGCTATTGCCCCAAGTGCGAAGGCTATACGCGGAGGACTCCCATGTCTGACGACGCATGGAGGCTAAGTCTCGGAAAGTATCTTCAGTTGTGTCTTTACAGCCCCGGGTTGGTATCAAATCTTATGCCTGGGACGCCCCGCCGTGGTCGGCTATCCTGCAGTCATGACGCGCATCTTGAACACCTTCGAATGTTTTTTTATCAAGGATTCCGGGTCGATTTCCGATTGCAGAAAATCAACGTTTACGAAGCAATCCCACCTTCCTTAGTACTCTTTACTCCTTCTCAAGCGCTGATCAAGGTTCGAGAAGAGGAATACGAAATCATTTTGAGGAGATCGGAAGCTTTTTTTAACTCTGTCCGCAGCAGAATTGTTGGCTTTAATTACAAGGTAGTATCCCTCGCAAATCAAGACGCCTCTGAGGAAGCTATGCGAGACCTTTTAAAGAAAGTAGACGTCGACTCTAACGCCGTCAAAGCACAGTTGAATGAGGTGTATGAAGAGTGCGTCGGTACCAACGGAGTGAAAATGAATATCGTTAGGAAGACACTGATCGACAAGGCGGTTGAGTGGGATGGGCTCTTTGCCACATTCGAATCGCGTTTTGTTGCCACTGATGGCAAAGACGCTCGTCGACTGGCTAGCGTACCTCTCAAAAAAATCTTCCTGGATCAAAGCATGCCAGGCTCGCCCGAAAGATTATTTCCAAGAATCAGTCAAGCTCCATCACTAAATTCACAAAAGTACAACTACAATTCACAATCCGAAGTTGAGTCCGACCATGCTCCCAAAGGACAGTCTTTCGGGACTTTTAAAAAAACATTCCCTTCACCAACCCTCAAAAGCATGGCCAGTGCGCTGGCCTTCGCGCTACCCTCATCGATGCCCGGCATCGGAATTCCTGAAATTCGTTCGGACGGCGAGAAACTCAAGAACCATGTACCCCATCCGCTAGGGCCCCCTCTTTGTGTCTTACAACCATCGCAAGAAGTAGCCCCGAAGGATGGACTGATGTTGGATTCTAATCCGGGCGTCGATGCCTCCAATGACGAACCGCACTCCAGTGGTGAGCTGTCCATCCCCCAGAAATCACTAGTTGAACTCTCTATTCCTTCCGTGGTCATCGAACCTGCCTCCACGCCTACATCTACTGCAAGTAATACCCAAAAAGCGGGTACCAATTCGAATGTCGAATCTCATGACCCCAAAGGAAAGCTTAAAGATGCCACCGAAATCTCTGCGGAAATACAACAGTCGCCTGCCTCGACGAGCAACACACAGGCAGGGCACGCTAGCAATCATCGAATCTCGCTGTTAACTGCTTCTCGCCATGATAGTTATGATCTGGAACCTCAACCCAATGAAGGAACTCACCCTGATTTAGTGTCAGACAAAGAAGAGGATTCGAAAAGCGACTCAACAGTTGTGAATGTTCGCAGCGGCGTCGCGCTTTCAAGTCATAGTAAAGGATCTGACAGCCAACGGAAGAAATGTGCAGCATCTGACACTGATACGACTACCAGTGAGCTTGATTTGCCAAATGATTCCCGGCGGATGACTTTACGCAGCCGCCGACCCAAGGATCTAGTGCTGAATTCTCGCGGAGGTGTAGCCAACCTCGTTCAGAAATTTGAAAGCCCCAAGCCCAGCCCCCGCAAAGCCACTCGATCTAATTCACCGGTTATCGACGAGAGTGTCACCAAGTCTAGCAATGCTGAGGAAGGCTCGGCTAAGAAAAAACCTCTCAAGACAAATGCCTTGCCTATCAGACCTTCTTTTAGAAGAGGAAAAAGTGAAATTGTTCGTTCAACGATGAACGTCCTGCGAGGTAAAAAGCCATCAGCTGGACTTGACAAAGCAGGCAGCCACATCGACTGCAATCAGAGTTTCGACTCTTCAACGCCCCGGCTATCTGGTAAACAGTCGGTCCAAGAACACATTGTCAGAGTACCCTCGCGGACTCAGCGACCCAGCTCTCGCATCACATCGCCTAGAACACCATCTTCGCACGTGCATTCACATCGCTCTCCTATGCAGCGATCCGGGACCAACGATGGTGCTTCATCCGCGGAAAAGCCTCGGGTTCCTAGTTCCCCTCGAGGCCTTGGTCTCAAGAAAGAGTTTGCTGTTCCACGTCGTGCCCGGCATGAGTCTGGGTTGCCCGTTTCAAACTTCTATCTGCATCGTCGGATGAACATGAATACGAAGGTCACAACAATTGCCCGTCACTTTGATCGAATGAGCCGTGACGCTGAACGAGAGCGTATCAAGCAAGCCAACGAGCATCGGAGTCGACCGCGGCCGATTGCCCATGCCAAGTCCTCAGTCCAGGCTTTTAGCAGCTTAACGGCAGCAGTGAATGAGGATTCTGATTCTGATATTGACGAATGTGAAGGTCATCCGGCTGGACACGATGCTGATGATGAGGGAGATGGTAAGTTATTGCAATTGTAAATGATCTTGAGAGAGTCTTTTCATGTAACTAACCAGTTCTTCTTCAAAGTCATTCCTGAAGCTTACGGACCCGATAATCTCGCACAAGGAGGTTTCAAAGCTGAGCCTGGCCTATCTACTGATCTTCCTCTTGTACCGGAAGTCACCCCCGCTGGTCCTCACCCATCACCGGACTTGGACCATATAGACCAAAGCTACCTCGATGAGGCTTCGACATCTAATCGACCACTGTCACCGAGTCGGGTTACTTCGTGTTCTCCGCCCTTTTTGACGGACACTTCTCGGCTTCCACCCCTGGCAGTCGCCCATTTTTCTGATAATGAGATGAGCTCAAGTGATACCGGCCGGCACTCAATTATCAAAACTCTCTCCAGCCTGTGGAACTATCAAGGAGCCGAATTCCTACCCCTCGAATATCCCCAGTCAGCATTTATTCCTTCTTTTAATCTTCTAAGAACTTCATCTGAAGTCTTTTGATCATTAGGCTACCAACCGAGCATCAGTCGGCGGAGAACCCAGTGATTATACGTGAGGATGAACCCAGCTCTATCATAGCCTATACATTAGCGTAAGCTTCGGCCGCGACTCTACAATTTATTGTCAATTTACGCTAAACGTCATTTTTTGTAGTTCTAAATTATACCAAGCGACACTGAAAGAGACGGAGCCAAGAGTGGTAGAGCGTTCGGAGATATTCATGCCTGAAGAATTCAAGCCTCGCTCTAACGATATCGACTCGACTTGGGGAATGATAGATTTTATGTCTGACGACTTAGATGTGGATGATGTCCTCAAAATTCCCATGAATAGGGCTAAGCCCATGCAATTTCGTACGTTTGTCCATTATTCGCCGAGGGTGGGCATCCTCTTACTGATATGAAGAGCTTGTCTTAACAGGCTTTGATGTTACTCCGTGCACCATTACGTGCAAGGTGTTCTTTATGCATGTCAGTAGATAGCTCCATATTCCATCATGACCGAGCACCTTCTAATTGGTTAAAATCCATCTGACCTTACAACAGCAATTCGAAGCGTTGAGAAAGACACTCATATGTAAGGATATTGTCGAGTCCCTTGCCCGCTGTCACAAATGGGATGCGTCGGGCGGCAAGTCAGGTCAAAAGTTTCTTAAGACTAAAGGTAAACTTTCTGTCGGAATCGCAGAAAAACAAAAGTATGATTGGATGTTGATCTTCGTCTTTCATCATCTTCTAGACGAACGCTATTTGATCAAAGGCATATCCAAAGTTCGATCCAATCTCACTTCAGCTCTCTTGCTTCGCCCACACTTCAGCTCTCTTGCTTCGCCAGTTATCTGATGGAATTTTTCGATCACACATCTTTTACAGGCTGAGCTAGAGGCGTTGACGAAATTTGCCCCCGCCTATTTCGAGTATCTGTCATCAGCCATTAAAGAGAAGGTGAGGGTACTTCTTATCGTGTGTTTGTCAAACAGGAGAATGGAAGAATGGAATGCTGAATTTCAGGGAGCTCTAACTCTCAAACCAGCGACCGATTACTCTTGCCAAAATGTTCGGGATTTTCCAAGTTTCCTTCGTGAACAAAATTACCAATCGCAAAGGGCGCTTACAGGTTCAAGTTATTGAAAACCTTTGGGTGACCAAGCCTCACCTACAAATTTATGATTTGAAAGGTTTAACCCGTAACCGGACAGTCAATGTTACCGGAAAGCCTCATGAAGTCTTACTAGATGGTAACTTCTGTGAAAGTGAGTCCTTTACAAAAGGTGACCTTGATTGATTGTCTGCTGTGTTGACCGGCAATCATTTGGGGACGATTATCTGCAGTGGTCAGAACCACCCCGATACTTGTTCGCGAGAATTCTTTACTGAGATTACAGGCCAGCTTGCACAACGATACACTCTTCTTGGCCAATCATAACGTCATGGATTATTCTCTTGCGGTCGGCTTTGATGAAGAGAAGCAAGAAATGTATATTGGGATTATAGGCAAGTTTTCATCATCTATGTGGATCATGAGATCTGAGAATCTGAATGCGACTGAAATAATGAACTTCCCCTATAGACTACCTCCAAACTTACTCTTGGGATAAAAGGTGTGTTTTCCGTTCCCTTCGTTTCTGACTTATTGCAGGGACTCATAAAAATTCAAATTTGAAAAGGCTCGAGACATTGGTAAAAGAATTAGGAGGTACTAGCAAGGAAGCTCCCACGGTGATAACACCATCCTTATACAAGGCGCGATTCAGGCGTGCCAGTAAGTAGATGACCTGCTACTATGACAAACCACGACTTGAAAAGATGTGAGCGTTTACAAAAAGGCATCTTGTGATATTTTAGTGGGAAAATATTTCTCGGTAGCGCCGGACCCATGGATGCACAAGTGGAAGCCGTATCTCTCGCCTTCAGAAGAGGATTCCATTGGAGCCAGTGTCGATAAGGAAGGCTCCAGATTGGCCGAAACGGGCGCCAAGGCCGAGGATTCTTATGTGCACCTGTCCGGGAACGAGTAGCTGATATGCACCCTTTTCTGATTCTCCACCTGTTTCATTTTTATCACATCATTGTATCATATGTTCATACCTGTAATGTGTTATCTGCAATGTACTATCGTGTCTGGTTATTATCATATAGCTTGTGTCTTTCATTAGCAGCCGATTGGAAAACATCTTGCCTGTGGTAGCTCAAGGGGTGCCCCATACCACATCATGATTATCTGAAACATGAGCACGGTCAAAGACTTAGACAAATTTCATCCAATTTAAAGCTGGCAGGAAGTACTCTAATCTAACAAGTTAATTTGGAGAGGAATAGTTTAGGTGGATCCGCGGCCACAGGAGGCTGATTGGGCACATCACCCTTTTGGATCGGAACGAAGGGCATTTGAGGGGATAGGCGATTGGGGTGCAGTCTTGTACAGGGTTAAAAAAAGGGAAGGTCTGAATACAGATGTTGAAAGACAGAGGTCTTGAGTATGAATGGTGGATGGAGACTTGCCCATGGTCGATAACACCCTCGCTTAAGTACCTAAATATCAATGTCTTGTCCTTCAAGGATGCTTGCCTCCATCGTGCCCAAGTGCCCCAATCCAGCACCAATTGTTTTGACCTGTTCAAGCAGTTGAATGCCATAGCCAACCACTCAATTTTTTTTTAGTTCATGTTGGCCAGCTCCAGAGGTTGTGACCTATATCCGCCCTGGATCCCACAGGACAGACAGTTGATTATGAGCCTGCAATAACCAGCTTATCTTTGACCACTTGCTTTGACTCTGACAGTGCATGAGTCATTTGTCTTTTGAAAATCCGGGTGTTCATTGCCAACCTCTTGAGCTCGGTGATACGCACCAAGAAAAAAAAACTGAAGAGACCGAAGAATGCACTGGGGATATCGATGGCCTTTTGAGATCGAGACAAGTTCCAAAGGGACAAAGAAGAAGATATCGATGACCTTTTGACAGTGTCTACATAAAGTCGCGCCGCGCGAATCAACACAGGCGCACCAAATCATAAATCATGTGCACTTGACTTGGACGACTTCAAAACAGCGGTGGCCATCAACACTTAAAAGGAGCAAAACCACCAATGATAACCAGGAAAGGTAAGAGATGCAAACGGAGACACAACGCTTGTGCCCGTAGATGATCCCTTTGCACCATCCAAGCCGGGACGTTTGTAGCCGTCATTCCTTCAGTCAAGTTGGCCAGCGTGACACTGGTTCCGCACGGTTGCACCCCAGTTGAAAAGACATGGCTTCATCAAATGATTCAGGAACTACTGCAGTGCAGCTAACTGCCTCCCATTGGGCCTTTGTTGAATGATCGCCGATAAGATGAATCAAGCCAAATACTATGAAATCAGAACTCGGAATATTAAGAGCACATCATATAGTCCAGCGAGAATTTGAAAGAGCTTTTGAGCCCTGTTTAAAACACTTGATAAAGCGATGGGACTGATAGATATACCCAGCTCATAGAAACATTCCGTATTTGAGACTTGTTGAGATGTAATGTCATTTCATTTTTAGGTTCGAACATCTGTTCAGCTTGCCGAAAGAATTGCCAACTGGCCACGACCCAGCTCTAGGGGTAATTTGGATTATTGGCCGTTGCCCTTAACTTGGCTCAAGAGTCCATGCACCTCATAGGAACAACTTAAGAACTGGGATTTATTTCGCTCGTCGTTGTTTTCTTCCACTTTAACCAACCATAGAGTATCACTATACTTTTCTTCTCCAACAGTCATTTACCAAACTGGTCCACTCAATACGCTCTCTGAATTAATCTTTTTTACCAACACTCTCCCCACGACAACACCCCAAGAAGATAGCTTATAACTCCGACGTAGAAAGCATAGCTTCCCGTGAAGAGATATCTTACTTGATCACCATGAAGTTCCTCATTTCCATCCTCCTTGTCTTGACTCTCGCTAGCTCAATCGAGTCAGTGTCCCCAGCCGGGAAGCCACCAGCCTCTCAACCATCCGCCTCAGCACGAGCCAGAGCCAACCGCTTATTGGTCGAAAAGTCCAGCGCCGATCTGAAACATGCCAAGTGCCCAGAAACAATGACCTCCTGCCCCATCTCGCCGATTATTTCCAACTCAAGATCTCATAAATCGAGGGCTTCTCATAAGAAGATCACTGCCTGGGAATGCTTGGACCTCGAGCAAGAGCTGACTGCATGTGGCAAGTGTGATAACGATGTAAGTCCAGTTTAGCCGGACTTTGGTGTTAATGATCTTTGATTTTGACTGATTCCTCTTCGTCTTTGACACTTTACTCTTTTGATGTATAGTGTATGAGAATGCCAAACGTGGAGAACGTAGGATGTGAGCAAGGTAGATGCAAGATTTGTGAGTAGACACGAATTCCAGCCTGCCATTATCAAGAAAAATGAAGAAAATAAATCCGATTGACTATTTTTCTCGCGTTTCGTGATGCTGCTGCATACGATTCACGAATCTGTTGTATAGTCACTTGCAAGCCTGGCCATTCCGCGCATGACGAACTCGATCCTGTGACTGGTTCAATCGTCTCCCGATGTCTTTGAGGACCCGCCGGCTTCTTCTACTTCTCCTTCGGCTCTTGAGCTCCAATCTACCGGCCTTTGCTTTCTTTCTTTTTTCGCTACAGTTCTTCTACTAAATTCCCTCCTACGCGCGTTCTTTTGGTGACATTTGGAGTAATTTTTTCTGAACGTTAAAGTTCTGTAGATATTTATATACTTGTGTTTGTGTTAGGTGTTATTGAACTCATATTCGTGGTTCAATTATTGGGACATGTAGCACTTCCCAGTTTTCAAAATTTCTTGGGTTCATGAATCGGTCGGAATAACTTTGGCTGACAAGTTTATTGTTGCCGAACACCAACCATACTTGTTTGTTTGATTTCCTTGTAGCTTACGGACAATTGATCTCAAAATGCAAGGGTGACAACTCAGGGCATTTCCCATTGTTGTATGCTGATTAGTGCACATCACCACAGCCCATTTCTTAGTCTTAACAGCACCCCAGCAGAGGGTCGTATTGGACTGGTTTCAGCAGCCCCAACTAGGATGCTTTTATACTTTAAAAGCAAGCAAACTCCATTTGCTCTCCAACCTCTTCATCCAACAGATGACATGTATTCCCCAGTATAGATTCATTTCTGTTACCTATCACCATTTTTAGTCCATTATAAGTTCAACCAACAATATGGTACTTGTGTAATATAAATTCTCTGGTGATTACATCTATTTAAACACCAATTGTGAATACACCTCAGCCAAAGCAGAACTTTCCCCAACTCCTTTTTGCCCTCAATTAATTCCAAAAGACTTCAATATAGCAATCCAATGAGTCAAAATGTCTGAAACCAGAAGTCAGACTCTTATTATATCTCTACATTAAAATTCCCCTTGGTCCCAAACATCAATACAAGCACGTTGAAAAAAAAGATGCATATCCTATTTCAAACAAATGAAATCAAGGCTAACAGAAAGTATCATGCGGAATTCTGAAAACAAAATGACTGGTTATCTCCGGATGATCAAGGCGTGATGTTGATCTGGAGCCCCAACTGCTGATCCTGGCGAGGGTCGGAAGGGTTCGGAGGTTCCCCGGTCGATCCTTCATGCAAGGCGGTGCTGATCGAGGATGCTTAGGTTGAGGGTATGCTCTTGTCGGGGGCCACTTCCCGGGTGAATTCTGGGCAGTGGCTGTGCAGGTGCTACATGCTCAAATGCCAGCCTCCAGGCTTCAAAGGCACTCACTCACCACTCTGAAAAGAAAGAAATCTTCCTGAGTCATCGTGCCCAACAAGTGCTCACGAAAATTCGACCGAAATGGAAGCCATCAAGATACAGAAGAAATATCCTCAATTTACCCAGCAGGAGGTCATGAGTCTGGTTTCCAGATTTAAGTTAGTCATGGACATCCTTCTTCTTTACTTGTTGCTCAAAATTAATGACTGACTCTGTCTTCGTTTTCCTCCCAATCTTCACCCTCCCAGAGACATGGATGTAGACTCAAAAGGATCCATCACCAAGCAGGAGGCGATCACCGCTTTATCCTCTGGCCCCAATCTCGAAGGGACGTATGACTCGGTACGGACGACGCTAAAAGAGGTCCAAGTAGACTCATCGGGCCAGATCGAATTGGAAGACTACATCGATCTGATCGCCAAACTCAGGCAGGGTCGGAACAAACAGGCCGGAAAAGCCGTTGGTAGTCCTGGACAAAGTCGGGTCGTCGTCCAAGGTAGCAATAGTAACATTCAACATGGAATCCTTCCAGATGAACTGTCTGCTTTTACTAGTCACATCAACAGCGTACGTTATTTCAGACATTTTCTCTGTGATTTCGTCGGCCATTGAGATGGCTGTGCCCAATTTGATTATATGCGCTAACCTCCATGTTGATTTAGTCCCTGGCTGGAGATTCCGATATCGGAAATCGGCTTCCCTTGCCGACAAACAATTTCCAGATCTTTGATGAAGCTCGGGACGGTCTGATTTTATGTAAATTGATTAATGACTCGGTGCCCGATACGATTGACGAGCGAGTCCTGAACAAGCCCACGGCCAAAACCCATCACAAGCCTATCAACAATTTCCAAATGACAGAAAACAACAACATCGTCATCTCATCTGCGAAGGCTATAGGTTGCTCTGTCGTCAACGTCGGAGCCAGCGATATTATCGACGGACGAGAGCATCTCATCCTCGGCCTGATCTGGCAGATCATCAGACGAGGCTTGCTCAGCAAGATCGATATCAAGTTCCATCCTGAACTTTACAGGTTACTCGATGAAGGAGAAACCTTGGACGAATTTCTTCGTCTACCGCCCGATCAAATTTTACTAAGATGGTTTAATTATCACTTAAAAGCTGCCAATTGGAACAGGAGGTCAGTTCTAACCCTACACCTAGCAGATCCACTTCAATGGACCATCTCGTAGGACACGCGCTCATTTTCGCTGGTTTTTTTAACTGTTACACAAATCAAGAGTCAGCAACTTCAGCAGGGACATTTGCGATTCCGAAAACTATACAGTCTTGTTGAACCAGCTCATGCCTGACCACTGTTCACGAGCGCCCCTACAAGAATCGAACTTAGAGCAGAGAGCAGAGCAAGTACTCCAAAATGCCGAAAAAATCGGATGTCGAAAGTTCTTGACTTCAAAGTCCATCGTTGCGGGTAATCCCAAGTTGAACTTGGCTTTTGTAGCCAACCTCTTCAACACCTATCCCGGATTAGAAGCTCTCGAGGAAGGCGAAAGACCTGTGATCGAAGACTTTGATGCCGAAGGAGAGCGTGAAGCTCGCGTTTTCACCCTATGGCTAAACAGTTTGAACGTCGAGCCGGGTGTTTACAACTTGTTTGAAGACCTCAAGGTAAATCATTTCTTAGCCCTTTGCGAATCACCCATCCCTTGCTCGTAAGCTTACGTTTCATCCATTTATACCTTTCCAAACTATTACCCACAGGACGGGACTATCATCTTGCAAGCTTTTGATAAAGTCATTCCAGGATGCGTGACCTGGCGCCGGGTCAGTCGACCAAAGGAAGACCAAGAATTAAGCCGGTTCAAGTGCGTTGAAAACACGAACTATGCGGTCGAATTAGGCCAAGCAAACCGAATGACACTGGTAGGAGTCCAAGGGGCGGATATTGTTGATGGAACGAAGACTTTGGTCCTTGGTCTAGTGTGGCAGCTCATGCGAAAGTCGGTGATTGCCACCTTGGCCAGTCTATCGAAGGGCAATCGGGAAGTCACTGATAGTGATATGATCCGCTGGGCCAACGACCGTGTCCGGGCCGCTGGCAAGAACACATCGATGCGAAGCTTCAAAGACTCCACCCTGCGCACTGGGCACTTCTACTTGGATTTACTAGATGCTCTCAAACCTGGCTATGTGGACTACAGTTTGGTCTATCCCGGCAAAGACGAGGACGAATGCACAATGAACAGTAAGCTTCCTACTCGTGTTCTGCGTGCCTACCCGTCGATCAATTTCAAATTGGTTTCTACCTTTCGTCCTCCAGACAAACTCGCTATCTCAATTGCTCGGAAAGCCGGCGCTCTCATCTTTGTTGTTCCAGAAGATTTGGTCGAGGTCCGACCCCGATTGGTAAGCATACATTTGACTCGGAAGCATCCCAGAGTCATGGTTGTCAAGGCTGATGTTCTGACTTTATTTTTCAACCTTTTGTTAATTCTTTTGGTCTCCAGGGATTGACGTTCATTGCCGCCCTCATGGCCCTGGCCCCTTGAAAACCTTTCATCCATCAAAAGGTTGTATTTGATTGCATGTAAATTTACCTAACCATGGACGATTATTCATACATATTAACACAACCATCTCAAGAAATTCAATCATTTCTTCCGACAACATCATTTTACTAAGATTGCAACTTGTTTCTGTGTCGTTTTCCTCTTTCCTCTTTGCATCACATTCCTGTCTCATGACTAGCGCTCATGCATCCGACCTGGTCCGAATTCCCCATCGCTGATGGGGCAATGTATCATGCTACGATAGACCTACATTTTCCTTTTTTTTTGATAATAACAATCACATGCCCCTATTACTGTGGTGAGGGTTCAAGTCACCTTGATCTGTCTGCATATCACCTCAAGGTGGGTGAGTCTGAACAGTCTGTGACCGATCACAGACCAGATGTAGTAACTTGTTTGATGGGATAGAGAGAAGGATTTGCTTGGATACCCCATCAATGCACTTAACCACTACCATAACATGAGGGTGAAATTGATAGGTTTGAGTGTTGAGCTTCATCCCATCGTGGGCCTCGCTTCTTTTGAAACATCTCATGCACGTCGTTAATAGCCGTTAGGGGAGTGAATGAGTTAGCTTTTCTCTTCCTCTTTTTTTTTGCGTGCAAACTCATAGCATTTGCACCGTGAAATTTGTTGGATTTTTCAAGACTTTGGTGCACTGAAACAATTGACTCTACATTGGTGATTTTATAGGGGACGCGCGTTTTTCCATAAACGAGATTCTGAAATTGAATATACAACAAAAATGTGCTAGGTTTGCTACTTACTTGCTCTTCAAGGTGAGGATAAAATAAAATAGAGCAATATAAAAAACCGGGGGAGGCTGCCTGGTGGATGAGCGGAGTGTTCTTTGGTAAGATGGCCGCGGGTCGGTCATTTTGATTCGTCCTTGGCTATGTATTGTTGGTATAATACACAGGTGCAGCCTGGCAATGCTGGGACACAAATCTGGGAAGGAATTTGCAAGTGGAAAATACTAAAGATTACGAGATCTCGGATCAGTTTTACTCAAATATCTTGACAACTGAGTCAAAGCTTCCACATGGTCTGAGTCAGTCATCAACTTACGAATGATAAGAACCACCATCAAAAAAATCCTATAGAAAGCAAACATAATACTTCAGTTACACCGCCGACCGACATCAGAAAGATAGGAGCAGAAAACTCACGCTATCGCCAGAGGTATCTTAGACCAGCTGTTATCCGGTTTGGCATCTTTCTTGGCAGGGGGGGCAGCCGCAGATTTCTTACCCTTTTCAGATTTGCCCTTTTCCAAGTCACTCATTATCTAAAGAGAAAAAAGTGATTTCTATCAAAATTAAAGTGAGATGGTTAGTGATTCTGCCCCCGGAAATGAGAGGAAAAGATGTCAACTTGCTTGTTGGAGGGTGACTGGACTGTTGGAATCACTGATGGTCAAGCGGGAATTGGATACTAGCGACCTGCGCTCAAGAACTTTCAGTAAGAAATAAATCTAAGGTCGCGAGTCAAAAAAGAAGACGTTCAGGTGAAGTTGGTCAGTATGCCACTCGAAAATCATCCAGGTCAAGATCGTCGATCCTTCTCCTCTTGCTGAGACTAAATGTGACTGGCGAGGTGACCCAGGCGAGGGCAGAACCCACGGATAAGTCTTGCTGCTTAGAGACGATAAAAATTGTGCTTACAAGGAGCTGAGCACCAAGAATACCAAGTTGGAGAAGATAATATTTTCGGGATGATCAAGCTCTGAATCCAAAACGCGGATGCTGAATTGATCCCCACAATATATTGACTGCTACCAGAAAGGATGAGAGACTGAATTGGACCAAGCAATGGTGCAAAACAAGGGAAGAAAAGCATCCAGGTCGACTATCACCATTTACGGGTGGAGATCAGCTGGGGATCGGATACCGCCTTGATTCGAGCTGTTCAATGTTGCGGCCGGACTGGGGAATGTTTCCATCAGCTCAGCCGGTTACTTGGCAGTCAGCCAATCCAAAGCTTTCTCTTATAAGTTGAGGGTCGCTATGTAACCCCATTGTAAAAGTTTGTGCAGCTACTTACACCCGATGTCATGCATAAGCGGAAGGCGCTCCTAAACTTGGGTGGCGTGATTTTGGGTGCCAGCAGCCAGCCATCGTTCATTTCTTCGAGTCCATGAGGTATTTTTGTGAACCCTCGGTGCAAGAGAGCGGGGATCAATACTATCATTAAAAGCACTCGCCGATCGTTGTCATCTTGGATGGATTGAAGCACGAACATGTTACATGTGTAACTATGTGGACGAATCTTATGTATCTTGATTATGCCGACGGTGGTCAAGACTCAACTATCGAAGCTCAAGTCCAGCACGCTGGGGGTTGAGTCTTACTAGGTAACATACATGCCTCGGTGCCTCGGGCATTATCGATGAGATGAAATACGATGGACTGCCATGGTAAACGGCGGTGTTCGTCGCTGCGTCTTCCGCGCGTTCCCAGGCCTATATATCGAAACAACTCTTTGGAAGTGCACACAGCCGAAAACATTGCGGATCTAAATTATATCACCATCGACAAATGTGTCGAGACGCTAAGCAATTTGGTGGTAACAAACGCCTCACCCCAGCATCTGCAGACTGTGAGTGGGCTCAGATCTTACTCTTGGGGAGTAATGATTCGCACTTTGTGTTGCAAATTTGAGGTATATTGAGAGAAAGATCACATCTTTACAAGCGCACACGAGTTATAAGTATCAATGTCAATGTGCAAAAAAAAAACTCACCAAAGATCTATCTAGTATTTTTAAAGGATTATATCTGACACGGAGGCAAGCTACTGAGAAAAAAAATGTATTTACAGTCAAGCAAGGTCATGTAAACGTAAATGCGATTTGGATTTTGGAATTAATGGACAGAGCTTCTGCCAGCCAATGCATCAGACAGCGATTTTTTAAGATAACGATTTTCCTCTTGTAGTTTATCTATCAACTTGTTTAATTGTCTGAGTTGCTGAAAGTTTCAAATAAGTTTTTTTAATGACGTGGTTTTTTGGATTGTTTGATTGATTGGAAAACGAAAAAAAGAAGTAAGTAAACACATCATGGATTATGCCATGGGGACTATGCATAGATAATTTCAGTCGAAATCTAAAACGCTCACCTGTGGATAAGTATCTTCGAGAGTTGTGCTTTTGGCCTCCGTAGCAGAGGAAACAACAGTCTGTTTATTCAATTTGAGATGTACGGTTTCTTCAGGAACGCGTTCAGGGTTCAAAATAACCTGATATAAGTAAGAAATATCAGTACACAACACGAACGATTCATTCATCAATAGCAAGATAGACAGGCCAACCGGTTGTATGATATGGTAATTGTGAACAACCATGGCTTGATGTTCAACGTCGGGCAGCTCGATCGATTGCGAATTGGTAACCTTTTGGTGGCCATCTCTTTCGTACCTTTTCTTATTGTTGCGAATGAGATCATCGATTATCGTGTCGAGTTTTAACTTTTTCTCAACGTTAATCCTGTCGATTTGTGGGCCGGGCTGGTCCTACGGAGACCCAAAGGGGTTATTTTCATTGGGATCTCGGAAGTATATGATTAGGATTCATTAATCTGCTTACTGGTAACTCTATCCGATAATCTTGAAACTCAATTTCATGACTAGGATTTATGATGGGCTGGATGTCATTGGAACAAATTGTGTTCCAATTAGCGCCGAGGGCTTCAAAGAGGTCAAGATAACTTAACTTAGAGGCACTCACTTGCACGTGGTGCTGAACGTATGTAAGGTGTCGCTCATGGAGTTTCACCTTTTGCACTTCCTCCACGACGTGTTTGTGAATCGTCTCGCGCGTTACCGCTGAAGCAAAGTGATTTTGCGCGTGATCAGTAAAAAAAAATGGCATGGTCTGTTCTAGTTTGATTAGAGGGTAACCCACGCTTCAGTGTGTGCTTCTCTTCGTAATAAGTTGTTGTTGAATCTCTTTCCGAATCATCCGGTACGACGTGGACAAAGTTTGATTGAGTTTGACGATGGGCATGGTCCCCGAAAGTGCGAATAGAGGGTGCGTTGACTGAGGGACTGCGAAGCCCATCATTCTTCGCGCTCTCCAGCTGCGCTTCCTCGCCCTGTGGTAAGTGACTAGAAAGTCTCTCTTCGGAGTTTGCAGATACGCGAGTGGTGTAGCTGCGTTCACCTGAGGCTGACGAGTCTGTGATAGATATAAAACTCTCCATGTTTTCCGGAATGTGGTGTGATGGATTAACTTGAGTCGCACTTTCTGGGCTCTTATAATCTTGCGAAGTTGATTGTCCGATTCTCGAGTTGTTAGGTACGGCCAAGTCTGGTGACAGTTGAGAAGACGAGTTGTTAGATGGAGTGACAAAGGTCTCCCTTGTTCGGACGCTTTGCTCGTGACTGGAGGCCCTGATATGCTTAGGCAGATGTTGAGTCTGCGTTGTTACCGGAGGAACCAGCAGTGCGGAAGCAGTAGTTGGGGAGGCGCGTCGCTTGATACGCTTGATGATGGATTTCATGCTAAGGCAAGAAGTTGTGGCGGGTTTGTTGGTTTGGATAGGGAAGAATTAAAATAAGATATGTTGAGGTATATGATGAAAATACAAGCACAAGTTCATTCAAGCAGCTGGGTGCTTTGAAACTTTCCGTCTCTTTTCCTGTCTAGCTAGTGGTCCACTCCCATACCCGGAAAAGCAACGCGTGCCCTCCATCTCCAATGCTCGCCGATTCCGGAGGTCGGTTTGTGAGATTCTCTTACCACAAAATCGCAAGTGTCCGGAAACAGCAAGCTGAGTTTTGCCGTAATGTACGGTACAACTCACTGCAAGGAGCTCAGACTGTGACTTAAGGGGTTCGCATGGCTGCTATCGGATATTTTCGTCTTGCCTTTACCTTCAGTGAGCCCGGAACTATGTTGGCATGTGGTTAGCTCATTTAGGCCGTGCCCATTCTTGTCGCAAAAAGTTCCAATTTGTCGTGCTCGTGTTCACCATCAACTTACTCATTTCACAAAGACAACCACCAAAAAAATAAGAGACGGCAGCTGAAGGACGGCCCTTCACTGGGACATGCGGGTGACTGATTCCGCCCGGGACCAGTCTCGGTCGGTTCGGCGGCTCAACCTTTTTTAAATATGCCTTTCACAGCCATTTCACATGAAACCCTCCTCAGGAGTCAGGAATCCGCAGTCGATAAACTTTTTCCCGGTTATTGTCCGTCGCCAAACGAGGAGTGCTGTCCCACATCGTCAAGAAAAGCTCAACAAGCCTTCTGTTCACTTGTACGCTGTTGCCTTACCCCAGTCGGAATATCTCGGCTCGCCTGCGCGAAGACAGTCACCCGGAGGATGGTCAACCAGAACGCCGGTCTGCCCGATCACTTCTCACTCGACAAAGTAATCAGGCCCAACATCCTCTCCTTGAAGCCATATCGCTGTGCAAGGGACGATTACGAACGTGGAATCTTGCTGGACGCTAACGAAAACTCACTAGGCTCTGCATTATCACCCACCGAGGAGTTTGAGCAACAAGGCAAATTGATCACATTATTCTCACTCATCGTCTTGGGTGCTTGGCCCTGATCACCCATGATTCTTGTTTTCGGTCGGCTAAATCAACAAATCGACCGCTTCCCATCGCTTGTCTGTGCAGCCCTACCAGCTCAACAACTCTCTCCTGAGCATGGGGGTTTGAACATCCACTCGCTTTCCTTACATCGCTACCCATCACCCAGCCAGATACCAATCAAACAGAACCTTTGTGACTATCGGAACTCGATCCAACCAGATCTCCCTCCCTTGGAACCTGCCAACGTCTTCTTGGGGGTTGGGTCTGACGAGATACTCGACTTATTATTCCGGATTGCTTGCAAGCCCGGTGACTCAGAAGGAATTGGAGACCAGGTTATCGTGACCCCACCAACTTATGGCATGTACTCCGTTTGTGCCAAGGTTAACGATGTAGGAATGATTAATGTCCCTCTCAATGTTGAAGGTGGTGCGTTCACGGTCGACTTGGAGCACGTGAGTCGCTCCCTCTAATCTTCAATCTGCCTCGGGATTAGACTCGACAAGCCCAGTTTATATGGCATTTTTGCTGATATTTTTTCTTCTCCCCGACAAAAAAAAAGCTTGATAGCCAATTGTCTCAGGGATCAAGTTCCAGGCCGATCAAATTGGTCATTCTATGCTCGCCGGGAAACCCGACAGGGACAACAATACCACTGGGCACGATCGAAAAAATCTTGTCAAATCCAAAATTTAACGGGATCTTGGTCGTCGATGAAGCGTACATAGACTTTGCAGGGAACGAAAAAAGCGCGATCAAACTAGTCAGACAAGGCTGGAGAAACCTGATCGTCACTCACACTCTGAGTAAGGGGTTCGGCTTGGCTGGGATTCGGTACGCCCATATTGTCTCGCTTGCATTCAGCTGCCTTCATCACATTACCTCGAGTGATAGAAGGAAAAAAAAGGGCACTAGCCTAATTTGGCCTTTCTCCTGCTCATTTGAACAGGCTGGGAATTGCTTACGGATCAGCGGATCTAATTCAGGTGCTGAATAACACGAAAGCACCCTACACGATCTCATCGCCGACATCTTCCCTAGGGTATGAGGCGACCAAGCCGGATCGACTGAAAGCGACTGAAGCTCACATTAGCAAAATTAACGAGAACCGCGACTGGCTGCAGAAAGAACTAGTCAAGATCACGGGACTAGGAAAAATCTTGGGACAGACGGAGGCCAATTTCATCTTGATTCAAGTCATGAGCTTTGACTCGCCCACAGATGTCGATAGTCAGCGGGCGAAAAGTGTCTACAAATACATGGCCGAGGATTCTGAGCTTGGTCAGACTCCCATCGTCGTCCGATATCGGGGAGACGAGCTGGGATGTCAAGGATGCCTCAGAATTACCGTCGGTAGTCGGCTCGAGTGCCAAAAACTGCTTGAAAAACTTGCACAAACTCTTCAACTCATTCATTAATTGTGACTCAACAACCCTTACCCTCATGCTCCTTTTTGCAACTCTTGAGGCATGAGTGATATCATTGATCCCTTCCCAAGGATATGTAATGAGCATCACTTGCATTCTTCTGTCCTTGTGCTTTTCTTTTAGCTTTCTTGACTTGGAAACCATTCTTTTGACTGGAGCGGATGATAATCAAAGGTCAAGCCATCCGAGTGTTCTGAAACCGAGATTGAAAAAATAGGAACTTCTTCCTACGTGCACGCAACAAGAGCAGCTGTCAATCTCATCTGGCAGGAAATTGCACAGAAGTACCTGCAGGACCTAATTCCTGTGGGAAGAGCAGGTTTCGCCCGCTAGTTCTGTTCAAAAGCGGACCTCTCACACGGATCCTGGCGAAATGGGTGCCTCTATGTTTTCCAAAGGTTATAAGGCCTCTGGCGGGCTTGTACTTCTAATTGAGCTTGGAAGACTTGGTCAAATAGTTGACACTGCGTAGATAGGTGGAATTTGAGTGGAATATTTAATTATTCAAAACTTATTTTGGAGGCAAGTCCAAAAGAACAAACAGCATATAGAAAAGATAAAAACGGATATTAGAGCCATCAAAAAGAGAGAAACACAGATACATTGAGATGAGAGATGCGAGATGAACAGCTGAAGTTGAGACACAATTGTTGATTTGGTAAAGACAAAGAAACAGATTAACCAAAGATTTTGAAATTGATTATGCAATCTTTTGATAGAAACTGATAAGATAATGTTGTTGGTAGGAATGATTATGCTGGCCAACGTTTAGATTTTCCGGGTATCAAATTTTGGAGCGCCTGAGATCCAAGTACGACGATGACCTCTGGAGGAAAATCTGGCGGGATCTTGATTTAACGGTATCGCCACCAATTCTTGAGCAATTGAATCATCGGCAGACGACGAGGGGTGTAAAGGTGCGCGGGTAGAGAATCGTTGAAAGAGATGGAAGTTTCTGAGGCATCTAGCCAATAATCTTCAGCAGGGGAACACGGCTCCAGTTGCTTGAGAGATTGACTTTTTGAGGTTGGCTCGGCGTCCAGCAGAAGGTATAGGCCGAGCTCGATCTTTGCGTGTCTCTGATGATTCCGTTGAATGATTGACTTGACTACAATTGTTCGCAAGACTGAAGGCTCAAGTAGCGTAGGAAGTAGTCCGGCTTTTGATCCCATGAGTCTGGCCCCGCGCTTCATAACTTCCTTTGGTTGCTTGAGTTGCTTCTGACTCTGAGGGGATTTGGGCTTGATGCAACTAGTGATGGGGAGTTCTTTTGGCGCGCCGACTTCGAGAACAGTGATAAAATCACTCTCGTTGGGGAAAAGCAGACAAGTAGTCTTGGGTTTAGTGCGCAACATCTTGTGGTATCTGAGGGTATCAATCTACGAAGTCAATATCAGTAAGAGAAACACAAAGAAAGAGCACTGATCATTGTTTAAGACTAACTAGGTCAATTTTTTCGAGCGGGATAAGATCTTCCAGTGGAAGCGGTTGGGTGAACTTTTAGTGAATGTAAAGAGGTTATCAAGTCGAGAGAGAATATGATTTTTTTTGATTGTTCTTCTGGACTGGAGATAGCTTTGAACTTGAAGGTCTTTGATGCTGATGGGAAGTGGGATTTGTGAGTAAGAACGATTGACGGATGAAGATGGAGAGATACGGGAACCCAGAATGCTTCTTTTATAGGACCAAGTCCATCAAGTTGGCTGGCCGTCCAACGAACAGAACACCTGCATTGTCGCGATTCTTAGACGGACCTGTTTATCTCGAAACTGACCAGACCTTGACGCGATACTCAGGCGGATTTTGAATCCGACTATCAGTCCCCGCATCATGGCTATGAGCGTGTCGTCTATGGCCGCAAAAACTTTCAGTGCATTCGTTCGTTTAGAGCTCATTGGCTTGGTCTGAAGTTCTCCCGAACCAGGCGCAGGTCTTGATTGATTGGCAAAGCACTAGCGGACGCGTGTAAATACATCCCCCAATGCAAATGTGATGTGCCAGGCCAAAGTACACCCTCAAGGATAGAATTGATGTTTGTTTTGTTTTGATGGTGAACTTCTTGTCCTAGCTGTCGGTTATAATTCAAACATCTATTTATGTCTTCAATCAATATATAGGACAGGTCGGACTACCCAGTCCCATTCGCTTTGTATGTTATGGATTGAAAAATTGTTTTCGCCACTTGCATACTATTCACGCGATTTATTGTGAAACTGAATGTTGACCAAAAACAAGTGTAGCTTAGGAGCTCCATCTTGGATTTTTTTCCCAAGGAGTCTCCAAACTTTTTCGAAAAATCACATCTTAGCCTTAATGTATTGACAACTAGCAGCGAAATTCCACAGGTGATAGAATTGAATAATGTTTGAAGAGGTGTGGTGCCAGTGGGTTGAATGTGATGTGTGTCCGGACGGCAAAAAAGCTGCATGCGCTACACTAGGATAGCAGCTACAACCTGGCAGATTATTCAACTTCTCCATTTTCATAATGCAAATTCTTCAAGAAGACTGAAGACCAAATAATCCATAGCAGAAGAATCGAGTTCAACTATAAAGAATTTCAAGCCATTCGCCTTCGCATGTTTTTCTGCAAATCATAGCAGGGTGTATTTCTCGGAAGTCTCAACCTTCTCATTGGTGTTCCTTCGTAAGTTCCTTCGAAATGCCCCGAAAGCGCGTGCCAATTCACCTTCTCGGATTTTTTCCTTTTGAGTGAGGCCATTGGGGTAAAAAAATCTGATCACAATCAGTACTCGAATTGGAAGAACCATCGATGGCAAATCGCAAGACAGAACCGCTGAGGCTATCCAGAAGTGGTTTGAATACTGGAGGCAGTGTCGAAATAAAATCACTGTTTCCTTGCCTTTTGTCCCGCCTCTGGCATCAAGCAATCAAAGCTTATTCCCACTGAACTTCTGAAGTGATCAATCGCAAACCCGCGAAGATATTTTTTGCGAGACCATGTCCGACAGTCCACCCGACCCGAGATGCCGATCGCGGTCTTCAGTTTGTTGACGATGTCTCGCCTCCCGCGGTAGTCGCGGCGCAGCGCACACCCCCGCAAGCGGCCAGTCAACCTGGCCTTGAGCGGCGCAGTGCCCAGCCAGGCGCACCAACCAAGTACCAACACCATTTTCCAAGCGTAAAAAGTGCAGCCATCTCCGATCCGAACGAGCATTATGAATTCTTCAACAAACGAAAACACCGAGCTGGTTTCAAGCAACTATCACAAGCTTGAATCACCGACCCAACTCCAAAGCCTCCTCGGTGCTGACTTGAAACGACTAAGTATTTTGTACTTTAGAGCCGAATGGGCAGAGATTTGTCGAACGGCCGATCCCTTTATCAGGTGAGAAGAAGCAGCCCATGTCAATTCCTCTGTTGCACGTATAATGATGTTTATGTTGCGTTAATATCAACACAAATCCAGGTCACTGTCTCAAAAATGGAAGGAGCCTCTTTTTCTCGAAGTGAGTGCCCATTCTCTTGAACTCGGTTCCTATATAGCTTTCTGATGAACTTTTGGTTTCGCAGATTGAAGCTGAAAGTCTACCCGAAGTTGCCGAATCTTTCGAAGTCTCGTCGGTGCCTTGCTTCGTTATCTTGAGGGGACACCAACTGCTCTCACGGATCATCGGAGCTGAGCTGACACAGCTTGAATCCGACGTTGAGAAATTTGTCAAAGCAAGCCAGAATCAACAAAGCAACGGCAAGTATGAGGTTTTGAGTGAGACAACACAAAAGCCGAAGCCACCTTCATCTGCCCCTAATGTTAATAAGTAAGCATTCTATCCTGGAAACCTTCCCCCAGGATGTAGATGATCACTAACGGGATTCACTTGGAAAAGGCTACAAGCGGGGGCAACATCGAACGAAGACGAGACAGAGGAACAACTTTTTTCCCGTTGCAAAGACATAATGCAACAATCCAAGGTGGTAGTATTCATGAAGGTGAGTCTTTCCCCATCAACCTTCAAGGTTCATATCTCTCCATCCCAATGTCAATCTGATTTCATTCTCGCTATTTAAATTTTAGGGTGATCCCAGAACACCGCGGTGCGGGTTTTCTCAGCAGACGGTCAAAATCCTTCAGGATCTTAACATCGAATTCACCACGTTTGACATCCTGACTGACGAAAAAGTCAGGCAAGGTAAGCCAACTACATCTAATCTGAAAAACCTGGACTGAATTGCTGATCGATGCTCTGATCCACCCTTGCAATATGCAGGTATGAAGAAATTAAACTCATGGCCCACGTTCCCCCAGATAATCATCAAAGGTGAACTAGTAGGTGGCTTGGATATCCTGAAAGAAATGATTCAAAACAATGGGAAGGAGAAGACCGAACTCGAAGAACTACTTGAAAGTTAAAACCCTTCTGGAGTAATATCTCTGGAACAAGTCTTTTCTCTAGCCTAACACTTTATTTCAAGAATAAGTTTGTCAAATCGAGCGGCCAATTCAACGCACCCCTTTGAATTGAATTGTACAAGTAGAGTATTTCGATACTGTCGTTACCCATTATCAACATTGCGGAAATTCAAATCATAGTAGCCTTAAGGAAAAGAGACCGGATGTGAGCTGACATTCTTGCATTTTCTGCAGAAAAAAAAATAGTTGGGCAAGCTTTTCAAGTGGGATAATGAGATGTCCGCGTTGCTAAAGAGTCTGGATATCAGCTGCCAATCCACATAGCAGTAATCTCGAGCAACGGCTGATCAGCGCCACCCTCAAGGCCAGAATCACGGCGACCAGTCCGCGCCTGTATGCAAGAACTGCATGAAGCATGACCTCTATTGCGCTGTTCTGTCGATGAGTTTTGCCCGCTGGCGTTTTGAGTGCACCTTCATGGCTGTGTGTACAGATATTGCAAGGGTTTTTTCCAACCCAGGTTTTAGGGCTGGGGGGTAATGTATATCCAAGCACGCAGCTGGAGGGGAATGAATGTAATGAAGTTAAGATAAGATAAAATGATAGGAGAAGAACAAAGAAAAATGTGTTCTTTTGCCATGAGATAGCATGATGAGAAAAGGGCTCACACTGGCTCACAGCACAGTGGCAATCTTACAATTTGCATGCAAATGTGAGGTTAACATGCACAAATCTTTCTGGGCCAAACATGCCCTCACATTTGCCATATCTCACCCCTCCTGGCTGTGCCATCTTTTTGAATGGGATAAAACTGTAACCATCTCAGATGATTGATGAGCACAGAATTCTCAATTGTTGACCGAAGTCAATTATTTCAATTGAGACCAGCAAGTTGCTGGTCCAAAGTTTGTAAACTCAAACTTTTGAAACTTCATATAAATACCCAAACAGCTAATTATTGAGGTCTGTTGGAAAAAAACCTAAGGTTCATGATAGAGATCGTTTGTCCGTACTTTTTGCAGGTACCCGGTACCTCCTGGGGGGTACCCCTCGCACCCGCCCCGCACCCTCCAGGAGGTGCCAGGTGCGGTACTTGGTACCTATTTTTGTGAAAAATTGAACAGGTACCTAGGTACCTCTACAGGTACCCCCTCACTTCCCTACCAAAAATCAAAATGATGGTGGTCTTCTACTCCAAGAACTCCAAGATCCAAGAAGGTACCTTGGCTGCATGGAAACAGGGACTCAAGGATAACAAGAAGTCTAACAAAAAATCAAAAAGGAAGGTGATGGTTTTGGATGACAATGAAGATTCTTACAATTAGTTATAAGTTGTAGATAGTTTAAACTTTGCAATAAATTATTAAATATGAACAAATTAAAAAAGTGACTTGGGACTGATTTTTTACAATAAATATGAAAAAAAATAGAAAAGTAAGATTCTTCCAATTAGATGTAGATGATTAGAACAGATATTAAAAAATGCCAAAAAAGTGACTTGTGAGTGATATTTTACAATAAATATGAAAAAATAATAATAATAAAGTGATTTGGGACTCTGGGAGTGAAACTAGGTGAAAAAGAGAGGGGGGGTACCTGAGGTACCTGCAACAGGTACCTTGGGTACCCCCCGGGAGGTGTCTGGTGCGGTACATGGTATCTATTTTCTTGAAAAAATGAACAGGTACCTAGGTATCAACAGGTACCTAGGTCCAAACGAACGATTCATGAAATCTTGGCTGGTATGATTTGCCTCTATTGATGTGTGGTGACATAAATATAACCCCAACTCCGGCTGTGGGTGGCCAAATTCTTTGCTGAGAAGTTCCAACGTAAATAAAGGGCCTTAATAAAAAAACACGGTTTTTCCATGTTTTGACGCGGTTTTTCCGCGTTTTGACGCGGTTTTTTAATTAATTTTTTATGGGTTATTTTTTGAGTTTTTTTGAATTTTTAAAGTTGTTTCCTACACTATAAAAGGCGTAGAATTTAATGGTAAAAACCATTTTTCATAAAAATGAATTTTGATTATTAATTATTTTTTTTGGGCCTTAATAAAATAACGCGGTTTTCCGCGTTTTGACACGGTTTTGATGCGCCGCAGCACACGCGGTTTCCGCTTTTAGACGCGGTTTCGTAATTAATTTTTTATGGGTTATTTTTTGACTTTTTTTGAATTTTTAAAGTTGTTTCCTACACTATAAAAGGCGTAGAATTTAATGGTAAAAACCATTTTTCATAAAAATGAATTTTGATTATTAATTATTTTTTTTTCACTCATTTCTCAATTAATTGTTTGCATACATGTATGTACCTTATTTTTTATGCTTTTGTGAAATTTTAAAATTATTTCCTAGGTTTAAATGTGTGTAGAATTTAATGGTGCAATCCAATTTTTTCAAAACTTAACGGTTCACTTTTAATACTCAAATTACACCCATTTTTCTACTTAAATTTTTAGAGCTTAATTTTCATTCTTTTTTGACATTTTAAATTTATTTCCCACACTTTAAGACATGTAGAAAATGATGGTAAAAACCATTTTTCCCCAAAATGAAAACTATACCTTGAATGCCGCATTTGACACGTTTTTTTTAATTAATTCATCACTTTTTCACTTAATTGTTTGCATACATGTGTGTACCTTATTTTTTATGCTTTTTTGAAGTTTTAAAGTTTTTTCATACATTTAAAAGTGTGTAGAATTTAATGGTAACATCCAATTTTCTTAAAACTCAACATTTCATTTTTAATACTGAAACTAGACACTTTTTCAATTAATTCTTTACATGTTATTTCTCACTATTTTTTGACATTTTAAGTTTATTTCCCACACTTTAATACATGATAAAAATGATGGTAACAACAATTTTACATAAAAATCAGCGCTTGTTACTGAATACTGCAGTGGACAGGCTTTTTTTAATGTTTTTTTGATTGATTTTTACCGGCCTGATTTTAAGCATTTTTTGAAATTTTAAATTTTTTTCCTACATTTACAAATGTTTAGAATTGAATGGTAAAGTCCAATTTCACTCAAAATACAAGCTTCAATCTTAATAGATGAGCTTACACCGTTTCTTGCATAATTTGTACTGCATACAAATTTTATTTGAATGCAAAATGGATACAGCCAACAATTTGAAAACCTTTCAAAGGACCATCTCCACCGCAAAATGCCATCTGAGCTGCCAAATCTCGGAGTTCGGCGACTGCGGCGCATTTTTGGCAGCTCACACCTTGGAAGATTTACACCGCAAGCTGCCAAATATGGCAGCCCAGTGTTGTGAACCTTCCTCCCCCGCTCCCACCCGTTTTGGATAGGAACTACACGCTGCCATGGACGACTCGACGGAAAATACGGAAAATACGGCCGTGGATGTCTGGCCGCAAGAGGTTTTCGCCCAAATTTTCATCCGAAGGCAGCAGCTAGCCACCAGCTCACATGCAAGACAAACGATGCTCCTTGAATCGGCAACATTACTGCTGGATGACGACCCAAATTACGATGACCTCTTCGGCATGCACGGTGGATCAAAACCAGGAAAAAAGCCGAACTTACCTTGAAACTTTGAAGCAGCCTATCAACAGCTCTTCCATCATTATTTTTCCGACACACCACTATACAACGAAATACACTTCCAACACCGCTTTTGCATGTCCAAACCTATATTCTTGAAGATAACTGAATCAGTTCAAAACTACGACGATTACTTCATTCAAAGACCAGATGCGTTAGGGAGGATGGGACTCAATCCCCTTGTTAAGGTCACGGCAGCATTGCGAATGCTTGCGTATGGGGGCGCCGGCGATTGTAACAATGAGTATCTGCAACTATCGGAAACCACGTCGCTCGAATGTATGGATCGCTTTTGTAATGCGATTGTCAGCATGTATGAGGCCGAATATCTCCGCGAGCCAACTCCTGAGGATCTGGAGAGACTACTAGCGATCGGAGCTCGGAGGGGATTTCCTGGCATGCTTGGTTCAGTGGACTGCATGCATTGGGAGTGGAAAAATTGCCCCTCGGCTTGGGCTGGGCAGTTTCAAGGGAAGGAAAAGGTAAATATAATTCTTTCATTGCACCGGCAAAATCATACTAATTTTTTATTAATTTTTTTTTGAATCCCTTTTTGACCTCATTAGACCCCAACTGTTATACTCGAGGCCGTTGCTTCTCAAGATCTTTGGATCTGGCATGCCTACTTTGGGCTGCCAGGATCCCATAACGACATCAATGTTTTGGATCGATCCCCGCTTTTCAAAAACCTTTTGAACGGCGAGGCTCCTAAATGCGAATACACGATAAACGGGCATCAATACTCGCAAGGTTACTACCTCGCCGACGGGATTTACCCGGATTGGGCGGTGTTTGTGAAGACTCTATTGGAGCCACGAGGCCTCGAACAAAAGCATTTTGTTAAAATGCAGGAAGGCCGCCGGAAGGATGTTGAGCGGGCTTTTGGCGTCCTTCAAGCACACTTCGCAATCGTATCTCGACCTGCACGGGGATGGAAACATCGAAACTTATCAAGGATAATGAAAGCGTGCATCATCCTCCACAACATGATTGTGGAGGATGAGCGAGGGTCTTACCTAGAATATGTGTATGATCAGAATCCGGCCGCAGTCATTACTCCAGTCGAAATTACTCGAGATAGCCGAATATCGTTTTCCGAATTTATCAATAATTATCATTCAATGAAAGACATAGAATCTCACCTCCAGCTTCGACACGATCTCATCAAACATCAGTGGGATGTGAAAGGCAGACAGGAGGATGCCAATGAATCATAGAAATCTATCACAATTATTTTCTCTGTAGTTTTCTCACTATTTTCTTTTTATTGATTTTCAAATAAAAAAATAAATTTCTCTTTTCTTTTTATTGATTTGGAAATAAAAAATAAGTTTCTTGGTCCCACATGTTTCTCACTATTTTATTTTTATATTGATTTTGAAATAAAAAAATAAATTTCTCGGTCCCACATGAATCATGCAGAAAAGCTAAGCAGACACACAATATTTGCATTTCATTTTTTCAATTGGTCTGTCAATGATGAATAGGAAACAACATGAGGTGTTTGGTTGGTCATAGTTCACTAATGCGAGCGAGGTGTTTAGGAAACAACATGAGGTGTTTGGTGGATGATATTTCAATAAGATAAAAACAAGGCTATCGGTAGTACGGAGTAGTGGAGTAATCGGTTAATCATTCAGGAGTAGGCAACTAAGATGAGGAAGAAGAGGGGTTGGATCGAAGAGATGCTAAGATTTCTTTTTTTTTTAATCTAAAATATTCTTTGGAATCTTCATCAAGGTTGGATAGATCCTTGTCCATGATGGAGACTTGGGTGTTGGTTTTACCGGTCTGAGCCATCTCACCCAAGGATTTTGCTTCCATATCGAAAATGTCATTCTGGCGTTTTGATTCCTTTGCGACCGACTCGTGAGCGCGCGCAATCATTCCCTTCCAACCGTCATCTTTCGCCGAGAGTTCATGGATCAGTTTTGCCTTCTTCTTGCCAATGGGACGTTGAGCAGAAGAGGTATCGGTGGTGTCGGCTTCAGCATCTGAAGCTGGTTCCGAGGTAAAAGCGGTTGAGGCAGGGGCGTCACTACTCGGGCTCCTAGCTCGTTTCTTTTGAGCCGGTGGTCGATTCTTTCTGGCGTTCTCATCGGTATAGCTGTTCCATTTCGGGATCTTCACGAGGATGTTGTAGCAGCAAAGGTACTTGAAAGAACATTTCTGGTCAGTGGAGAAGAGTTCAAGCGCGCGGTTTAGACAATCTTTGGCCGATGCACCGCTTTCGCCAAATTGATCGACCTGGTTAACAAAACCTCGGAACTTGCTGACGACTTTCTGCAATGCGCCCCAATGGGCCTTCAAACTACCGGGTGTTCGACGAGAATCTGGGAGGTCTTTCGAGAAGGATTGGTGCACTCGTTTCCAAAAGGTCGCACCATCCTGATTAGTTCTGATCAAAGGATCCTCCGATATAGCGATCCACGATCGACAAAGCTGGACATCTTTGCTCTCTGAATAACTGGCCGACCGTTTGGTTCCAACGTCGTCTGCAGTTTGGCTAGGTTGGCTCTCGGCGGTTTGACTGAGTTGGCTTTCGGTTTGTTGGGCTCCAAGGTCTTGAAGAAGCGGATCGAGGACATTTGCGGGAGCTGCTGGGGCCATTTTGATGGGTGTGATGGATGGACGAAGTTGTTGTTATCGGGATTTCTGGGAAGTTGTGTTGGATGGAGGGATATCGGCTTTGGATATTGGCTTTGGATATCGGGGGATATGGGGGGATATGGGGGAAGCGATGGATGGGAGAATCACAAGTATTTCTTGTGATACTTGCCAGGTTGGGTCAGGTTGGGTTGCTATTGTGTTCTATATTTGGCTTCTGGATAGCAGCCGAGAGTCGAGATTTCTCAGTTTAGCAGCCGCGGTGGCGCTGCTAAATTGGGTTTGCGCTGCTAAAATTGGTTTAGCAGCGCGGTTTAGCAGCTGCGGTGGAGATGGTCTAATAGGGACCAGAGTGTGAGGACATGAAAGATGTTTGAGCATTCACCAATGGTCGAGGGATGGATGTCCAGTGGTAATCGCGGAGTGTGACAGTCCAGCTACATATCACTTCCTTGGAACCGCCCCTCCTGTAATTACATAGTCAGGCGAATACGTAACCAGCCTCGAGTGACGTCAGAGGAATCCTCCTTAATTTATTTCAGATGTTCAGCTTAAGAAGAACAGCACTTCATTCCATCTCAACTGGGCGTCTCCTGACTTCCAACAGTTTTCAAGCGAATCGATCGACGATGGCTTCCACTCGATCCAAGTCGACTATCACCTACCAGCATCAGGACAGTCTACCACATCTGCCTGTGCCCGAACTCGAATCGACTGCTCAGAAGTACTTCCGATCGATCTTACCACTCGTATCCCCTCAGGACCCGCACTCACCCACTGCCTCCGATGGAACACCCACCCCAGCTTATAAGCACACGAAAGCTTGCGTGGAAGACTTTCTCAAGTCTCCGTTGGTCAAGGAGCTTCAGAACAGGTTGAAGAAACGCGCCCATGAGGAAGGCCGAGAGAGCTGGTTGAGCGAATGGTGGAACGAATTGGCATACATGGCTTATCGGGACCCGTTGATCCCGTTCTCTTCCTACTACATTGCCCACAAGGTCGATCATCATCGCAGAACTGGACCCAAGAGAGCAGCGGGGTTGGTCCGGGCTATGATGGAATTCAGGCATCTAACCGAGACGTAAATATGAAATCCCCCCCTCGCACAATATCTAGGAGAGTTTTTCTAATGTTCAATTTGGCTTCATCTTCTTTAGTGAGCAGCTTGAACCCGAGCATAGTCGTACCGGGCCGCTCTGCATGAACAGCTACAGATGGCTATTTAACTCCTGTCGATATCCCGTCAAACCGTCTGACACGGCCAGAAAGTTCGATCCCCAAGTTAATACTCACTTGGTAGTCATCAGGAAGGGGCAATTCTTTGAGTTACCGGCCGTCAAGCCTGACGGGACTCTCCTGTCAGAAGCTGAACTGGAGTCGTTAGTACTTAACTTTTTATTTATTTGGGTTCAGAACTCAATCTTTGCTTTCTTTTCGTAGGCAATTCAACAAGGTTATCCAACTAGCTGGCCCTACCGAAACCCCATTCCCAGTAGGAGCTCTTACCACTGAGCATCGTGATATATGGGCCGATGTCAGTCACACATAGTCATATTTTATTACCTCATGGGTCACTGAATGGTTTTGTGATTTTATGTAGATGCGAGAAGAGTTGTGCAAAACTGATCCACACAATTCCAAATCGCTTGAAAGAATTGAGTCTGGCATAGTATGCGTAGCTCTAGATGATACTTCGCCAATCACAAGAGATGAAGTGAGTATTTGTTTTGCACTCTTCTTCAAAGCTGTTTTGGGTTACGAATCAATGGGTGCTAATAATTGGACTGGACTTCACTCGCGCAGCTTGGATTCACAATCTGGTCCGGTGGAGGTAAAAACAGGTTTTTTGATAAACAGCAATGTAAGTCAATCACCAATATCTGTGCCCGATCTGAACTTCAATACTGAGACGATTTGTGAGGAATAGTGATTGTTTGTGAAAACGGCCAGAGCGGTTTCAATGCCGAACATTCCTGCATGGATGGGACGCCTGTGTCTCGGATGAATGATTGGATACTTGACGCACTTGCCAACAAAAAGATTGATTTGGGTTCCAGTTTTGACTCTAATCTGCCGGCTCCAACGCCCATAGAGTTTGTACTGTCAGACACAACCAAGCAGAACATCCTCAGATCGGTCACCAAGTTCCATAATTTGATGTCTCTGCAGACCTTGGATGTCTTAGAGTACCCCGGCTACGGAAAGCGTGTGATCAAGAATCAATTCAAGACCTCTCCCGATGCGATCGCTCAACTCACCTTCCAATTGGGACATTACAAGTTATTTGGCCGAGTACCTGTGACTTACGAATCTTGCCAAACAAGAAAATTCAAGCTTGGTCGAACAGAAGTCATCCGATCGTGCTCTATCGAAGCTCTCGAGTGGTGCAAAGCTATGGAAGACGTGAACGCTGATTGGCCTACCCGACTAGAGAAATTTAAACTAGCTGCCAAGGCCCATTTGGCATATGCTAAAGAAGCTAGCGATGGGCAAGGTGTAGACAGGCATTTACTTGGTGAGAATATCAATTTCTCTTTATATTAAACCTTTCCTAATCGAAACTGAACTCCAATACAACGGATGCTATGGACATACATTCGTGTGTTTAGGATTAAGACTTTCTTTGAAACCAGGGGAAGAGATGCCAGCGCTATTCCAAGATCCGATATACAAAGAATCGACTAATTGGATATTATCTACGAGCACGCTGCCTTCGGAATATTTTAACGGGCTCGGATATGGTGCAGGTGAGTGAGATGGTGGGGGGGGTATTTGTTACATATGTACCCGAAGACTGATGGTTTTTATGGGTGTTGAATACAGTTGTGCCTGAAGGCTTCGGCCTGGCTTATGCCGTGAACGAGGAATCGATGAGGTTTACCGTCACGACTACTACCGGGAATGGCGCTCGCTTGAAATATTGCTTGCACGAGGCTGCTGACGACATCCATAAGATGATGCGATCTCAAGACGGCAAAGGGGTGCCTAGCGCTAAACTCTAACTTGCCATCATTCTTTTTCTTTTGGACGGCTTGTCTAATCAGCGGGGAATCCGATCATCGAGTTTCCTTTTTTTGCATTCCTCATGTCTTCTTTTTTGATTATCAACCTCAGCAACAACTAGTGAATAAAATTGTTTCTCGTTTGTATTCTAGATACTTCCCCTGATAAGCTGTGTATCACCATTGACCTATAACATACTGCTTCGTAGTGCACATATTGTAAACGCTATCGTTCTCTCTCTACCGTGATCTAATCAGTCGTACTCCTCTATCTGAACGACTACGGTCATTGTTGATTTGGGCGACTGATCAATCTACCTTGTTATAGATCTTCTTAAAAGTCATTTTATTTTTGTACATATTTTTTGTGGGAACTCATTTTACTCTAGTCTAGTGCGAATGAAGTCATTATGGCTTGAACATCCTTGTGCCATGGGCAGCGGTTTGTTTGTGAGAAGAATGGTTACTATTGGGGGCAGTTTACGCCAATCTTCAATTTCATTCTTGTGACATAGCACCCAAGTCATAATATTCTTAAACTAGACTGCAGCAACGCTGGCTTGTATGTCAAGGAAACCTCCCTTATTTTGGGGTAGCCCACAGTAAGTGTACTCTGTGGTATACCCAATCAGATTTCTGGTTAAATTTTCAGAAAAGATAGGTAGATGAGAGTAAGACACATGTGATTTTTTTTCTAAATAAGACTATAACGCTTGGGGAAAGCTCCAACACTTGTGCAAAGTGGACAGACATCATGGGTCGCTAAAACATAATTGGAGATTACAGTTTGGCACTGATTGAACTTTGACCCTTTTCAAATTTCATCATCTTCAAAATATCATCTGCTGCTTCTTGTAAGCAGTGTTTCAATCGTGCACCATTTTCGGTGGGTGTGGTGACGGTGAACCTGATCGACTCTTTATTGACCGCATAACCCAAGCCGAATCCGTCAGGTACAACTGGGCGCCATCCACAAATCAATTTTTGTTGTGCAACTGGTTAAACAAGTGAGTAATTCATAGTCGATTCTACTTACCTGCTCCATAACCGAAACCGTTAAAATTTTCTGAGGGCATGGGACTGGTCGCGAGGGTCCAGCTGGTAGATTCTTTGTACACCGGATCTCGGAACAACGCCGGAATTTCTTCCCCTGGATTCAAAGAAAGTCTCAATCCTACGGGTAGTACGCATCAGCTACACGTGAGGTATATATTTGCGAGTAGAGCGAGCATCCTGCGAGAAGCAGAAGCAGAAATTCACCCAGCAAATGTCTGTCGACAGCTTGTCCTTCGCTTGCTTGTTGAGAATATGACAAATGTGCTTTGACGGCAATTTTGAATCTTTCGAGTCGTCCGTTCCAATCAGCCCCGTCGTTTTCCATAGCTTTACACCATTCGAGAGCTTCGATTGAACAAGAACGAATCACTTCTGTTCGACCCAGCTTGAATTTCCTCGTGTGAGACGGCTCCCAGGTCACTGGTACCCGGCCAAACAGCTTGTAATAGCCTAATTGGAAAATCATCTGTGCAACCGCGTCCGGCGACGACTTGAATTGGCTCTTGATCACACGACTCCCGTAACCGGCGTAATCCAGGACCTCCAATGTATGGGGATACATCAAGCTTTCAAATTTCGTAATTGCTTTCAGGATATTCTGCTTGTTGGTATCTGATAGCACAAATTCTATAGGACTTGGGGTTGGTAAATTGGATTGAGAGCTGGTCCCTAAGTCAATCTTTTCCTTGGCGAGCACGTCGACTATCCAATCGTTCATCCTGGCAACCGGCGTTCCATCCATGCAAGAATGTTCGGCATTGAAGCCGCTCTCTCCATTTTCACAAACAATCACTGCCTCATTTACAAATTTCGTCAGTTTATAATTTTAGACTACTCATACTTTTAAGACGTTCACTGACATTGCTGCTTATCAAAAAACCTGTTCTTGCCCCCACCAGACCAGAGACTGGTTCCAAGCTGTGGCAGTGAACCCAGTCGTGTAAGCGCATTAATATCCATCTGACGAAAGTATCCGAAAGACTTACTTCATCTCTTGTTATCGGAGAAGTATCATCTAGAGCCACGCATAGTATGCTAGACTCAATTCTTTCAAGAGATTTAATATTGTGACAATTGGTATTGCATAATTCAACTCGTGTCTTCCAACAATCAAAAAAAGAACTCAGCAGCATATTGAAGCTCCAAACTCAGGTGTGCAGATACTTACATCGGCCCATGCATCGCGATCTTGAGTCGTAAGGACTCCCACTGGAAATGGGGTTTCAGTTGGGCCAGCTAATTTAATTACTTTTTCAAATTGTCTAGGATAAATAAAATCAACATTCAAGGCTTAATACAACTACTCACATAGATGGTGAGTGATGGGAAGTTGTCTTCATTGGGGATTTGAAGGATTAAAAACACTCACAATTCTAGTTCAGTTGTTGATAACCAACTCCCGTCAGGTTTAGTGACTGAGAACTCAAAAAACTGCCCTTTCCTAATTACTACCAAGTGATTATTGACTTGTGGGTCGAACTTCTTGGCAGTGTCAGAGGGCTTCGAAGGATATCTACAAGAGTTAAAGAGCCATCTGTAGCCGGCCATACAAAGCGGCACAGATCTCGCCAATTCGGGTTCAAGTTGTTCTCTGAAAGACAAAGGCAAAAATGATTACTCTGCTCCCTCAATTTGGGAATCTTGACATACTTTTAGTGCTAATGAGGGAAAGACATACGCTTCTAGTAGATTTCTAAACTCCAGGATGGCTCGAACCAATCCAGAAGCTCTTTTGGCAGCGGTTGTCCACCGATGATCAGGCTTATGGGCAATGTAATAAGACGAGAAGGGGATCAAGGGCTCGCGAGCTCCCATATATGCCCACTGATTGTACAAGTCGCTTAACCAATTGTCATGTCCTTCATCCTCGGCGCGCTTCTTCAATCTAGCTTGGAGTTCTTTAACCAAGGGTGACTTGAGGAAATCTTCTATACAAGCTTTGGTATGTTCATAGGATGGAGTAGGAGTAAGATCAGAGGCACTGGGAGTGTTAGGTTCTTGAGGAGAGACGAGGGGTAAGATGGAGCGAAAGTACTTGTGAGCTGTCGATTGAAGCTCAGGGACAGGTAAATGTGGCAAGCTGTCTTGATGTTGATAAGTGATTGCTTTGGATCGATGGGACGGCATTCCGAAATGTGACAATTGGGAACGCATGGAGTTGATTTCGTGTGGATGAGAGCCGGCCCCTTACCCAAGTAGAAAATATGTAGGGATGAGGGATTAAGTACCTCAGAATTGATAAGATTCTTTTGACGACGAAAAAAGAAGCCATGAGGACAGATGAGGAGGACATACAAAGGGCTGCACCTAGGGCTGCCCCGCAAGCCGGGCCGCCAGGGATCCGGAAAGGAAACAACATAGCTTTAGTCTTACGTTAAGATGAGGAAGCTGACTCGAGTGCAACTATTTATTTCGATCATGATATACGTAGGCACGTCATGCCTCTTCTACGGATATATATAACAAACAAGTAATTCTACTTGTAACTGCCATCCCTGCATTCCTCGATCCGGTACATGGCAGCCGCGTCCGCCGGGTCCGAGCAGACGAGCAGACGGCAGTTGGAAGCAGGGCTCGCGTGCATGGTATGTACGGGCCGGACGACAAAATTTCTTGCCAGTGGACAAACACAGCAGTCATGAAAAGAAAATGTCACATACATACATCTCATTTGCTGGATAAAAGGTGGATTTTTTTATATTTCCATTCACCAACAGGATTTGTGCCCAAGTAACAACCAGACAGATCTGAGGAATTGGTCACACCTGAGACACAGAATAGGGGGTGGGAAAAACAACTCCCAAAAATTAGTTGACAACTCCCACAAGTTGGCCAACATCAGGGATCTCTCAGAGATTGCAAACTACTTCTGGACTGACTCTGGACCAGAATCTTGGTCCTAGGAGCTGTCAAACCAATCCTGAGAAGTCAGTCGGATTTTATTGAGATTTTGCAGTATAAGGCTATAAGCATACTCTGCAACCTTATGCTTAGTGACACTTAGGGTTATATAGTGATAGTTAGAGTTGTAACCTAATTGTGAAACCTAAATGAGTTAGAGTTATAACCTACTTGTGAAACCTAAATGATAGTAAGTTAAATAGTCAGGCTTGTACCGTAGAGTACTAGAGATGTCCCTTTGTACCCGGGTACCTGCCCAAAAATCCAATTTTTTGCCCAGGTCTGCCAGGGCGGGTACCCGGGTACCTGCGGGTGTGGAGGATTCTATGGGTTTTGTTGAGGCCAGAGGGAACCCTCCGGCCCTCAAGACAATGTACAGTCTCAATGACTGGAGGAATCCCTCCAGTCATCGAGACGGTGTACAGTCTTGACAACTGGAGGTATCCCTCCAGCTGTCAAGACTGTAGTTGGTCTTGATGGCCAAAGGGATTCATCCGGTGTAGGACTCCTGGGACGGATAGACACGGTAAAGTATATGTATATCAAAAGATCCCTTGAGGGGGAAATAAATTGCAAATAGGTTGAAAGGCTATTACAACTTACGGGTGGTTTGAAAGACCTGCCCCTCTAAATGTACTAAACAAATAACTAAGAGTCTTGTAATCAATATTTAATAATGTATGGCTGATTCCAAGATAGATCTTACTTTTGTAAAGTAATCTCTATCAGACCTAGATCACGTATCAATCTACTAATGAATCTGTTACAGCTTCAGGTTAATAATGGAAACTGTGGTGCTGATGACTTGAGCACGAAACAGATGAGTTGTTATAGAGTTTGTTAATGATCTCTTCCTCGAACAATTTCTTGCTAAGGCACTTTAATCAAAAACTAGAGCTCCGGTACTAATGCTCCTACTACTTGTTATTGGGTGATTGTTAATGTACTACTACTTATATGATGACTACTACTACTAATATGCTTCAAATTCCGAACTCTGTGTTGGTTTCACACTTACAATACTGTTCTAGATCACTACTTATCACTAACTTACTCACTACTTAACTCACTAACTAACTATGACCAACTTACCGCAGTAGGCTGATGTACTAACTTCACTAACTAACTAACTATCACTAATTCTAACTCTTCACTTTACTGACACTCCGGAACACTTCCAGTAGCTCAGGACCAACTTACTGCTCTGCGAGACTTCTGTAGGCTGATGGGGAGAAGACACTTTCTGGTGGGGAGAGGTCCTTCTTTTATATTGAAGAGTGAGGGATTTCTGCTGCAGGGGACTCCTTGTGAGGGAATATTGCTGCAGAGGATCTCACCTGCACAGCCTTTGCGCACAGCCTCCAAACAAATAGCGCAGCTTATGCTGTGCTAGGAACACTTAACTCCAGACCTTGTCACATAATATGCATGCAAGGGAGCACACAAGCGCAGCATGATGTCATGCATTGCCAGGCAACCAAGCCATCTTCCAGAACCAAGCGCAGCATGATGTCATGTGTCGCCAGGTAACCCAGCCATCTTCCAGAACACTCTGCATAGGCAGTACCAGCCTGCCAGACCTGCTGTTATCTCCTTCCACCCAGGATTTGGGGGTCAAAGCCTCTCCTCACTCCTTCCTTCCTCCCTTCACTTTCCACAATCCGTACCCTGTACCCTTACGTAAAACATAAAGTACCCTTATTACACACCGCTCCTCCGTTCCATTCCTGGTCGAGACATGTTCTCCCAATCCACTCATTGTATGTAATCCTGTCCGTATATACCGCACCTCATCCATAATGATTGTTCCTTCTCTTGTAATGATTGTCACATGTATGTAACTATGCTATCCCAACACCTCTGCTGTATGCTTTTGGCATTGAAACAGGCACAGCACACCACACCGGCTGCCTCTGGCCACAGCAGTTTTTAGGCGTTTTTTGCCGCTAAAAACGCTGTAGCGTAGCGTAACGCAGCGTAGAGGCGCGCTAACACTACACCAAAAATTGGCAAGTGTTAGCGCCGCTACAAATTAGCGTGGCACAGCGGCCGTAGCGGCGCGCTAACACTACCAACGGTGGGCCAGTTACGCTAACCGTAGTTTTAGTGCAGCGTAATGTTAGCTTTTTAAGCTACGCTACACAAAAGTTACTGTTAGCGAAAAATTTGGCCCACTAACACTACAGGATTTCTGAAAAAACAAAAAAAACTTTAGCGTAGTGTTAGCTGACTAAAAAAAACAACAACTAACACTAACCAAATCTAGAGATGGTCACTTTGCATCCGGATATCCGCGCAGATCCGGATATCCGCTCTTAATTTCAGCAGAATTGCCTAATTCCCCTGAAATTATGAGCGGATATCCGGATCTGAACGGATATCCGGATGCAAAGTGACCATCTCTAACCAAATCCCTTGTTAGTGGAATTTTAGCGTGGTTAGTGGGCTAAAAAGTTACACTAACTGTTAGTGTAACTTTTTGATAAGTTACACCAACTGTTAGCGTAGTGATCCCCTCAGTTACACTAACTGTTGGCGTAACTGATCAAAAAGTTACACTAACTGTTAGCATAACTGATTACTGAGTTACACTAACAGTTAGCGTAACTGATTACGCTCCTCCAATTGAAAAAAGTAGGTGGTATCACTAGGGGTGAGAGTTTGTTTGAGAATCTGGTTTTGAAGCTCCTGTTTTTTTCGGCTTGGCACCGTTTCTTTGCTGCTTTCATACTGGCATTATTATTACTATCAAGAGATAAATTAGTCCCCAGGGTTTGAATCACCCCAAGATCCATTTATTCCATCATTTAGTAGCCAGCTGCAGGAAAGGGAAACAGGAAGAGTAAGAAGAAGCAAAAAATTAGATCAGCAACCTGCGGAAGCTTAACACAAATTTGAAATCATACCGCTTTTTTGGCCCGTCCTGTTTGTAATCCACAGTCAATGGTCAAGGAAATGTGTGTGGGGGTACCTAAATCAAAGAGGGGGGAGGTTAGCAAGCATCAGAGCCAGGGTAGCAGTCTTCTAGTTTGTTCCCTTTTGGGGAAGCGATTGATTTTTGATGGTTGACTTTGAGTAGCAATAACTTTTGCAAAAATGGTCTGATTTCCTTAATTTTTGGTTCGTTGGAAAGCTGGCATCGAGGGATACATTTTTGTCACCCATTGTGTTGACTGAAATCGAATGGTTGCTGAGATCGAATTGATTAAAGTTAGTCCAATGCAATCCAATGAGAGACCTAAGTTTCAGAAGAGGGAGTAAGCTGAAGAGACTTTTGGATTGGAGGATATAATGGAGGTGGTTGTGATTAGTATTTGATTGAGATGAAGATCAGGTTGAGCTTTGATGAAGTTGATGATGAGGATGAGGATGAAAAATCTTGATGGGGTGTTGCTTGGATCGGAAGAGATTGGAGGTCTGACATCCATCTCCCCTTGCTTGAACTTCAAGTTCAAACTCAGAACCCAGGGAGTGAACATGTCACAGGCATGTCCATGGCATCCTCTTGCTGACTGAACCTCAACTCACCGACCCATTCCTCATGTACTGCTAGTCATGTGGACAAGGATGATGTCTGGAGATGCTACTAACATGTCATGTCAAGTGTTCAATTCCACCTCAAGGCATGCAGTTGTGTTATTTTCTCACTTGAAATTTTTCATTTGTCCACCATTGTGTAGTGTAGCTTAAAAGATAGTGTAGCGTAGTGTGGGACCAGTTACGCTAAATGTTAGCGTCAACTCAGTTACGCTATCTGTTAGTCAAAATTTTGTTAGTGAAAAAAAAGTTACACTAACTGTTAGTTTAGCGGTGATTATTTGAAGCTAACACTACAGAAAATTTGAGATAAAAATTTCACGCTACGCTGGCAGTTAGCTCAGCGGTGTTTAGCGTGCGCTAACACTACAGATCTTCTAGAGAAAAAAAAGGCCGCTACACTAACAGTTAGTGGTCAAATAGCGTAGTGTAGCGTAGCGGCCCACCGTTGACACTACACAAAAAAAAGCAATTGTTGGCGCCGCTACGCTAACGCTACATGGGCCTGTAGCGGCCCACCGCTGTTAGGGCTATGAGACCTTTAAACATTAAGCAAGTCAAGGAAACATTCGGCAACAAGCGCCTTGATGTATGCTCATCATTGGTTACCATCAAAACCAAAGAAACCATTGTGAGAACTCCTTTGGGATGGATGGCAGTCCTGTGAGGGGGAAATAGCAGATATAATATTTCAGGTATGTATGATCTATTACAAC